GCGTCACACGTCTGTTCGCGGAGAAAGAGAGAGCGAGAGAGAGAGGTATTGTTTCAATCCCGCTCGTCGCAGACAATGCAGGAGGAGGTGGCTTCAAGTCGCATTGTCTCGGTCGCCTCGGTCGAAGGACGGAGATGAGACAAACAATTCCACAGACGGTGTTTCGAATACAAACTCTTCACGGTGTTCTCAGTTGTTTGCTTACTTGTTTCAATATGAAACTATTTTTCTTCTTCCAATAAATACTCCTCAGAACGTAACTTTAATAACCGAATAACTTTGCCTTTCTTTTTCGTTCTAGGCAATGTCAGTCGGCGAGTAACTTCGAGAAATATGAGCATATTTCATCCCCTCAACTCGGAGCCAGAACAAGCAGCCACATGGCCTGATGCATATATCCAATGCTGCCAACGATAATCATAGCCCCGCGCTGGGGTCGGCAAAGTAAAAAAACGCGTGCTGAGCTCCGGGCATTGTTAGAGTTCGGCTCTTCTCATCACCGCAGGTGGTGGACGGTAGCCACTACCCGAGTGTCCGCCGAGGCATTGATTGCGTCGAGCCGAAGTCGAGTGCTCGCGCAGTTCTCGTATCCAATTCATGAGCCTTGCTCGACTGGCGTCAGGCGGGTGGTTTCGATCCCACAGTTACGTCATCCAGGTTTACAAGGTAAAATAGTTTGTTGTTGGGCAAGTTGGTGAACGTTTGGATACATGGTTTTGCGCAAAAAAGACGGACACAAGAGAGAGAAACAAACACGAGCGCAACTTCAAAAGGTTTCCTCAATACAGTTGTAAGTTGCGCTCGTGTTTGTTTTTCTCTCTTGTGTCCGTCTTTTTTGCGCAAAGCCATGTATCCAAAGGTTTACAAGGCAACATTGAGAGAAATAGTTTCCCCATCCTCGCAATCTCACGGCGACCAAGAAACTTCTGAACCAGTGGCGGTCATTTCGAATATACTCGGAACTATATATAGGACCAGGGGTGCTATGTTGCGCTTTTTGGACTCCCAGGAGACTAGGGAGAAGGAAGTGGCGTCAACGACACAGCAAACGCAGATTGGATGTTGACAGAAGAAAACGAAATCAGCACCCAATCTGCGTTTGCTGTGTCGTTGACGTCACTTCCTTCTCCCTAGTCTCCTGGGAGTCCAAAAAGCGCAGCATAGCCCCCCAGTACGCCTCTGTAAACTCGTGGCCATTCCGACCCGATACCGTTTCGTGACCCTTTTAACACTGGAGATCTCCGCTCTAAGAACGAAATCGAGGGCGCAGAGAAATAAGTCCCCAAACACTACGTTAGAGGAAAAAAAAAAGAAAGAAAAAGATCAATTCGATTTTACCGTCGTATGTCAAAAATAAATGCCTCCATACTGCGTCCCGTCTGGCGCTCGCCCAACGGTCACCGACGTGCCCGACTAACACCATTTAGAATAATCAGGGCCTCTGCACTGTGATTAAGACGTCATCCAAGTGAGATTGGAAAAAAAAAAAAAAAAAAGAGTGTTTAATTGCCGAGTTGGCTCCATCCGGCTGTGATGACTTCCCACGGAGGAAGAGGATTATGGTCGCAGGCCTGGATTATTCTAGGGGGAGGGGACACGACCCTTAGCTACGAGACGAGAACTTCCACTTTCCGTTTCGTTATTTGCTTAGAAACCCGCACCGCAGTGCCTGTTGTCGAAAGGGTTGGGTTAACGTAACTTCCGACGGGAAAACGGTCTTCCGCAGTTGGGCCGCGATTATTTTCCTTGGCTAGTAGCGGAGATACGCGTGCCGTAAGCTGGAGGCTATGTCCCGAGCCGCCGAACTAAGGAGTCCGTAGTGTCCACGTCCACTCGTTAGGTAGCCAATGGTCGTACTGCGCTTTACCACTGACGTCACTTGGTCTGACATATCGGGGAAAAGGGCGCGTGAGAGGGTGAACTTCCGCTGCGTTAACCAGACGCTTCTTGCCGCCAGAAAGAGGGGCGTCGTATGACTGGTCCAACGCGAGCGCAACGTGACGTCACGTTTTGTGAGGATCATCGTGACCGTCGAAACAAAATTGCGTGTCCAATGGTCGGCTGCACGCAGTCGCTCGGAATGTAGGAAGATGGGGACTGCGCCTGCATCGGCACTTGATGGACACTGGACGCGGATATAGGGGTACGGGAAAGAAGTGGCGGTGCAGCGCGGCGAGGCATTGCGCGAAAGGCGCGCGCTATTTCCACGGTGGCATGAGTCACACTTAGCGAGGGCCTGATTTATTTCGGGCCTTGGGTGCCTGCATTCTTCGATGCCGATCTCTGCAGTGCTGCTCCCCCTCGTGCATCTTGGGGCGCGTGAAGGAAAAGCGCCGTTTTCGCCGCCTCCCGACTGCGGTCCAAGTGGCTGGCGTTGCCTCCGTCATTGCACGCGACTGACTCGTCTCTCGACTCGCGCGCCGCATGGAGAAGAAAAGACTAGCGTTTTTTTTCCCTTCTTGTATCAAGGTATAGAGGAGGCTATGATCAAGGTCTTCGACGCGACCCTATTTTCACGTACCTATATGATTTCGTTGCGGGACAGCTTTTACCTCTGTGGTGTAAGCACCGACTAGAGTAACTGTATACGCTTCGCTTGCGGAGCAGATTATCGCAACCAAGCTTCCAGGGCGGCCGTGCTGGCTTTAAGCCCTGCGGAAAGCGACCCTCGTTTTTTTTTTTTTTTTTTTTGCAGGAGACAAGGAGGCGGAGCTTGCGCGACCGTGAAGCAACGCGGTCGTCGTACTCCATGTCGTCTGTTTTTGCAGACTTCGGAAACTGACGTCTTAAAACATTGGGCGCGCGACCGTCGATAGCTTTATGAGTTCCGTGTTTTCGGGGTTTATTTTTCTTTCAATTCGTGGGTGATATTTCGGGGCTTATTTTCCACCTGCGATTCTGTGTTTTTCGGTGTTAGTGTTTCGGCGTTGAGCAAAAAATTGGTGTTTATCGGGACTTGTGTCTAAGTGAAAAGGACACGGGCATGGGATTCCCCAACCTCCAGGAAACGCGCGTGACCCGAATTCTTCGAAAACGGCCCGGTACCAGTAAGACAAGGAGAAAAAAAAAAAACATGTTGAGAGGTGTGGATACAAAGAAAGAAGCAGAATCATGGACAATCTTTAAAAACTGTGTTCGTGTTAAGAAAAAAAAAAGAAAAAAAACTGTTGATATAGGTTTTTTTTAACGCGACAGCATTTAGGAGATTGTATCGCAGAAAATCCGGCGTCGGCGTCGGTGGGACCAAAAATCCCATAATGCAACGCGCGCAGCCACGTGACGTCACACGTGTCTGTGCGCGTTGCATTATGGAATTTACCCGCTAAATTTGGTGGAAACAATTTTCCGACAAATTTAGCGGAAAATGTTTTTGCGAAATTTAGCGGGTCGATAGTCCTGACGTCACAGCCACGTGCGACGTCACGTGACACGTAACGCTACCGACTAGACCACGCACACACGCTTGCACGGCTTGCCAACGAGCACGCTTTTATATGAGAAGGCTTTGCGAACGAGACCCGATAATGCTATCGCATTTCACTCTTAAAGGCGAAGCTTTAGCGTACCCCAAGTTTTCTTGTTCAAAGCGCACGAAGGGATTCGTGGTTTCTCCTTTTTCCACGATTTTTATAGAACCAGCTGCCCCTATGCTTTCTTGTTAAAAAGCCTCTGACACGCCAAAAAAAAAAAATTTTTTTTTTCATGCTAGGCGTTGAAATGGCATGTCAGGACGTTACAAAAAATTGTTTCACTATAGAGGTCCGTAGTTTTTTTTTTTTTTATAAAAATAGAAATACGAGGCCGAATTCAAAGTTCCCGCCAGTGCACTGTGACCGTAACAGTGTACTCAAGGTGTCGGGGCGGTCAGAAGGGAGGCATCGGCGGAAGTCACGTGAGTTGTATCCCTCCTCGTGCTTACCGCGAGCGCGTGTAATATTTTTTTAAAAATATTTTTGTTGTTCTCCGCACCTCCACGAGCGATCCAAGCAGACAAGGTTTCCTTTATCTGCTTTTCATCGCTTAATGTTGCTGTAAAGGTAGAAGAGGAGTCAGTGAATTGACGTGATCAACTGCAATGCCTAGAAGGTGCTGTGTGAGGGACGGTCACGGTATTTCAGCAACTGAAGAAGAGATCACACTGCATGCATTTCTGAGGGACGGCAGGCATCTTCAGCCTGGAGAGTATACGATGATTCGACGACCTCGGTGTCCGAACCTTCAGCAATGCGTGTCGTACGCAAGCAATTCTAATTTCTGCGAGCGTTCTAAAATTTTTTTTTCAAGACTTGATAGCTTCTTTTGCACCCAGTATAGCTCTGTATCATCGGACTGATCGCATGCACTCGTACACTGGCTTGTACTCGCAACGCTTTCATCATTGACCTTACTGACTCTTCGTCCTCAACTTTTACAGCACGCAAACTAATCAACGGTGCAGCGATAAAGAGCTAGTGGAACTGAAACTTCGTTTTCTACAATCGCTCGTACAAAGAGCAGAAAAAAAAAGTCTTCGGCACGATCGCGGAGAGCACGAGGAGTGAAACTCACGTGACTTCCTGCGAACCCACTTTTAGTGACGTAGGTCCATGCCTCCCTTCTGACCGCCCCGACACCTTGCGGTACACTGTTACGTCACAGTGCACTGGCGGGAACTTTGAATTCGGCCTCCTATTTCTATTTTTATAAAAAAGACTACGCAACTCTTTAGTGAAATAATTTTTTTGTAATGTCCTGACATGCCATTTCAACGCCTAGCATGAAAAAAAAAAAATTTGGCGTGTCAGAGGCCCTTTAAGTGAAGGATGCATGAACCATATGCTTGCCGAAATGGGACCATGTTAATTCTTACTTGCAGTAGGGTTCATGGTCCGTGTTGAGTTCAAGTATCACCCGATGGTGATAATGATGACGAGTTTAGTGGAGCTACAGAAGTATCGATCTGAATTGTTTTTGTTTTGTTTGAGAAAGTCCTACAAAAAAGTTGCATTATTTGTACGCAGGACCTGAGCGGAGGCAACGCCACGCCGAACGGCGACGCCACCTCCACTACCGACCACCGTCCAGCCATGGGCGCACACCCATGCGACGCAATCAACGGAGCCTCCACCGACCCCGACCCGACGTCCAAACGGGCTCGGGACAGGTCGGAGCCGAGGACCTCGACCGCCCTTCCGACAATCCACTCCCCACTGCCTACTGCCAATCACAAGCTCCTCTTGGGACGCCCGGGAAAGCTCGTCCGCAACAGGCCCATCTCCCGGTCGGAGCGTCACCTCAAGGCCGCCAGCACGCCCGAGTTCCACAGCGGGAGTAGCGAGGACGTCTGCCGGGAGGTCCGCCGCCCGTGGTCCCAGCTCTACACGGACGTGGAAGCGGAGCAGCTTTTCGCGGCTGTCGGCAGCATGTCCAGCCTCCCCAAGGACGACGTGGCTGCCGACCGGGGACTCTCGACCGGTGGTTCGAGCCTGCCGCCGCGCTATTCCTCGCTTAGGGCGTCTAGTCCGCGCCTCATAGCCGACAGCGTCCTCCAGAAGTTCCGCAAAACCTTCTCCATGCGGTTCCAGCGGAGCCGTAAGGGGTCCACGACGTCTCTTCCCGCCAAGGACGAGGGTTCCTTGTCGAGCGCCGAGGACTGGCAGACCAGCTGGCCGCCAGGTTCTCCGCACCCGGATGTCCCCACCATGGCCGCCTCCAAGAAGTTAGCACAGAGTTCGGCCCCGTTGGCGCGTGGGGAGGACGACGAGGAAGGCTCGGGGGGCTTTCGGCTGGGGCCCGCCATCCTCAGGGCCTCCAGGGAGCAGAAGCTGCATCGCAAGAACCGCGAGCTCAGGGGCTCCAAGTGCAGCAGTGCGGATAGCGGGATTCAGCTCGAAGCCGCCGGTACCGGCGGGGAGCAAATGTCCGAGGTGAGTGCGCGCAAAGTGTCGCCCACCACTCGTTGCACTCGAAATTCGTTCGCATGAGCTCCTCGTGAGGGTACATTATACTTTTATGACTTGAGATGCACGCCTGCGCACGGTACCAGTGGTCAGGTGACGCACTCTGAGCACAGGGTGTTGCCCAGATAATCTGAACTTTAATCACTAAAATAAAAAAAAAAATAAAAATAGGAAAACGATTTTGAGATTTAAAGAAAAGTTTATGAATTCGCTACGATTACTTGATGTTGCGTTAGTTTCCACAGCATCTGCTAGGGGGGAGAAGCAGAGCTTACCCGTTGGATAGTGATGACAATAATATTAATATATATATATATTGGTCCGGGAGAGCCACGGCACCGGAGACCCGCGGTGCCGCGTCTAGTGATGGTAATTATGCGATTATATAAAATACACGGTGACGACGGCGTGTTCTTTTGATCGTCGCGTTAACCGCTGCCCGCATTTCAGAAGTTCGGATACGGTTCAGGCGAGTCAGCCAGCGAGCTGTGGTGGCCTTGCGGGCTGTTCGGTAAAGTATTCAGGTGGTAAATCCGTGGCATTTGGGTGGTGGTCTCTCGCTTCCGTGAAGGCAGCGGGCTCTAGGAGGCGGCCCAGTAAAGATGGACGACTGCCACTTCCAAGGCATTCATGCCCAAGGCTTGAAACATCGCCGCGCTTACCCAGTATAGCTGCCTCTCATCATATCTTCAAATAAGGCATGATAGAGAGCACAAATTGTTTTCCCGTTGTGATTAAGGGGCAGTTGAGGTTCTTTAGCTTGGTTGCGATATTAAGGTTGTGGGCCTCCCGTCTTCGGGAATGCCTAACGTCGGCGTTCGCTTTCATATAGTTAGTAGAGACAAAGGCAGCTAGCTTCGCGTCCACCCAGTAATCCTTCCAACCAGAGCTCGGTGTTCTGACGTCCCAGCGCCCTCTCGTCTCCTTCTCTCTCTCACTTTCTACCGGGCGTCTCTTTCGAACATCCGAACTCCAGCACGCGCTGGTTGTTGGCTGGTTGCCTTTTGCCATAGCCTCCTCAGAGCTTTTTCTCGGGGAACCTGAACGTCAGCGCACAACTTTTGCAGCGGTGAGGACCCGAAACACTTGTTCGCTCGGGAGAAGTGTGTTTCGGCGTCTTGCCGCAGCGGGGCGCCAATTACGTGGCTCTCGTCTGATCCACTGCTTGCCAATCCACCTTTTCCATTTCGTCGGCCGCTTCTCGTGGTGATTTGCCTGGCTATGCTTTTGCCGTCCTCCGGCTTCGCGTGCACATTCGAGGTTCAGGAGATGGCAAAGTGTTATCGAAGGTATAAAGAAATGAAATGTATACCACCTTTAATTCACTGAAATTTGTCTGGTCTGTCGGTAGAGCGGTAGAATGATTGCTGTCATTCGTAAGTTACTGGTTGAAATCCGGCTGGAGAGGGATTTTTTTTTTTGTTGCCAATTTTCTTATAAACTTGGCGCGGTTACGGCAGAGGCTGAGAGCAGTCATGTGATTGATGACGTCACCGGGGTTTTTTGCAAAGGACAACCACGCAATTTCCCCGGGAGATTCCCACTAACAGATGTCGCTGTAAAATTAACAATGGGAAGCACTTAAAAAATAATTTTCTGAAAGCCTTAAAAGGGCCGTAGAATGAATTTTGGGCTAGGATAATTAATTTGATGTTGGAATCTTACCAATCACACATCGTTTAGTGGGCCAGAAGAACGAGGCTAGAAAATAAAAGAGCCTGCTTTTCAGTGGGAAAATTGGAAAATATTGCGGACTGTTTCGTACCTTTTTTCCTTCGAAAGCTTTCCGCCTTTTTACTGTGATACATCCGCGATACCCAAAGCACCTCAGCCGACCCCAGCTCACGCATTGGGCACGAGCATTGCGTCACTCAGACGTAGGCGCTCGTCAACAATCAATCCGTCGACGAATATTTGGATTCGCACTCATGGCCAATGAGTGCCGTGATGACATCACCTACGAACAAGGAGGTTAGAAGTACTGGGAGGGGGCACGTTGCAATATTGGTGAAGCCTAGTCATAAAAAGTTTAAACGATGTTGTGGCAAACGTGACCGTAGATCTCTCTGGCAATCGGTGCGCGTGACATGTCAGGTGTGAGATGGATGGTTGATTGTAGAAGGACTCCTTGCAGGCTTGCGCGCGCTCCGTCTGGTAGGTTTTATCAGGTCAAAGGCTAGACTGTGGTGTATTCTAGTGCACCATAGCTAGACGAAGGCTAGCTACGGTCCCATGATGTGGTCACGTTGGGCTGGACAGGTGAAGAGAGTAAGGAGGAAAATGAGAAAGAGGCGCGGCGTCAAGGGAGCATGGCTTGTGGAGGCTACGCGGCTGGCGTCATGCCATCTCCTACCTTTCTATCCTCCTTGCCTACGAATGACAAGTTTCAATGTATGCTTAAAAAGCACGGTGGAAGCCTGGAGTCATCGTACCGGTCCCGAAGCAAGTCACGACCGCGTGATTTCGCATTGCGCTCTTGAGTTGAGGAGGAAAGCTAAGAAGGAAGAAGTTAGAAAATCATTTCATGACTGCTTTAATTAAAAGCACAGGGTAAAAAAAAAGATTTATTGTAGTGTTTCTGTAATCATGAAAAGTTTATTTCTTTCTGCTAATTTTCAAACATCACAATGTTCTTAGAAAGTCATATTTCCGGCTGAATAACACCTTTTCCGAAAACAAGGAGTGGGTCACCACGCCCCCTTTTGGGATGCGCTCCCTGTTTATCGGTAATTTTTTCCAACAAAAATAAAAATTACAGGAAGGTCCAGGGGTGGATTCTTAGGGAGTGCGTTAGCATAACTTCTGGAAACGCCACACGCGTCCCCCTTTGGGAAACACTATCGCTGACCCCGTAGCTTTTCTCTTTTGGCTTTCTCTTTTGCTTCCTGTATTTTTTGCTGCCTCTTTTCGGCCTCGTTACAGGGTCAGCGTTAGCGTTTCCCAAAGGGGGACGTGTGTGATGTTTCCCAAGGGTCATGTTAACGGATTCCCTAAGAATCCACCAATAAATCTTCCTGTAAATTTTTCACCCCTTTTCTGTACTCTGCCTGTCAGAGCACTTCGATGCCCCTGGATACGGTCATCCATCTCACTTGTGGAAATAACCACAACCATGCCAGTCGTGAAAGGAACCGCATTCATATCACTCGTGGAGGGAACCGCATACATCGTTCTAACTACACAGACACATCACAGTCCACGCACCGCTACTACGGATACCCAGAGCGAAGAACAACGGGCGACGGCAAAGCGGCAATAGGCCCTTTGCAAAACGTACAGCGCCACGACGGCAAGGAATTTTGGGAACCCTCAATACAGATCACGCGCTTTCTCGTTGCGACTGCGCGTGCGTCCCGGCAGCTACCGCCAGCAGCCGTTGCAGCCATCCGCCATCCCGCCGAGTCGTACGTCGTTGGCGGCGTACCGTATCTGTGGCAGCTTAAAGGCATCGCGACAGGTGAACTGATTTCAATACGTTATTCGTCGTAACTTACCTTCACATACTGAAGTGTCACCGAATCCACTTATTTTGCACCGCAACCGTGGCAGACTTCGACCAGGTTCGACAAAGGGTTGGTGCAGCAGACGACAGACGCAGCTCATTTAGTAACTCTAGAGGAAACATGGCACGCGACATTAGAATCACGGATATTGCGGTGACTCGTGTTTTCAGACTGTCGTTTGTATGATGTATGACCGGTGTGGCCCCGGCTTAAGTGTGGCAGTCTGACTTCCACAAGGTTCCTTTCCAAGTGCACGTGGTGTCGATATGCTTGGTTTCACTTCCAGCGTTTCATCTAATTCCTTCGTTTCCGTGCGACATGCAGGCAGACTCTACGGACGAGAGCCAAGGCGGTGCACAGAAGAGGGCGGACGGCGCCTGCGCAGAGATCACCGTCAATGGCATCAGCTGCACGGCACTTCAGGGCGCGCACGAGTGTGCCGCCAGCGGCCGCGCCGAGTCCACGAAGCATGACAGTCAGGATGCACAGAATCCACCCAGCCCCCTGTCACCATCGCACCAAAGCCTGCACAACGCCCACAGTTTGGAAAGGGTATGCAATGGTCGGGGATTGGGCATTCATTTATTCATTTTTAAACACTGCTGACCTCTTTTTGGAGGTTGTGCCAGGAGTTGGTACATTTATTTACTGCGCAAGGATTTGTACTATGCAATAATAAGCTGTAGTCAATACGCAATAATCAGGCAGCGAGATAAAATAGTAACTTTTAACAGCCTTCTAATGGTTTTCTTTTTAAATAATTCGACTCGAAAGGAGTGTGATGTGTCGAACAGACGACCTACCCAATATTTCTCCCCCAAAATGCAAGAAGGCGTGGAGGTTGCAAACACTGTTACTTTTAGGCACGTGCGAATAGTGGATTTTGAGTTTGAAGCGAATTCGAAGCGAACGGTGCTTTTAGCCGAATGTTTTTGAATCGCGAAGGTTGTTCCCGTCCATTTTTAAGCTAAGTTCATTTCAATCGAAGTATATTTATGGACTGTGGCTTAGATATATATATATATCAGGTAATATTAAACCTACAGAGACACTGAGCTAACGTGGTCGAGGGGACTTCAATCTTATTGCTGTATAAAAGTAGGTTTTGTTCAATCTCGAATTTGAAGGAAACACAATCACTAATGAGTTGGAATTTTTAAACGTTTACACCTATGTAAATATTAACGCTCAAGAGGTCTTATTTCATTTCATATACAGCGGTGCCCCGTTCACCATCCCACTTTGGAAGGTGCTTTTGTCTTAGGCGCGCGACTGCGATATTTGTATTTTTCAAGCTGTTGATCGCGGCGAGTTAGCCCCTTGGGTGTGCTTTTTTTCCGAGCACCAGTGCATTGCGGAGAAACAACACTCGCGGAAGCGAGCTCCGCGGACGATGCTTCTCCGCAATGCACCGGTGCTCGGTGAGAAGCGCGCCCAACGGTTCTAACCGGCCCAAGCAGCACTTCGAAAAAAAAAAAAAAATATGAATGTCGTAGTTCATTTTGAAGCGAACATTAAAAAACATATTATTGTAAACTGCTATTCAAACATTTGAGTATTCGCACTATCCTACCTAACATTCCCACATTAGTCTTTGTTCGAGTCGGCCAAAACTGACAGGTCTCTTTCAATTCAGATTGACTACAATGGCTTATTTGGCTCTGCTTTGCTACCAGGGGAGCCTGTCTAGGAATATAAAATGTTGTCCGCTACAAGCGGAGTCATGTATTGTACCTTTACTTCGTTTCTCTCTCAGTCTCAAGACATGCCTTTTATTATTTCTTGACACTTTACAATACTTAAAGAACATATACCACCGAGGGTTGGAGAGCCTTTTGCTAGGTTTTTAACTTCAGGGTCGTAGTGACTCTAAAAAACGACAAACTTGCTGATATTGTTCACACAAGTTTAATCAAAGCAAAGGGCCTTTGGTATAGGTCACTTCAGTTTCCTTTGATGTCTCGTATTATTGACGAGAGTTTTATCTCATCAACATATTTTTGGGACAGTGTTTAATTGTATTCTTCCATCACTAAATAAGTCAATCTATACATGTGACTAGCCACTGCTGTTATTTTGAGTTTAGACCATATAGTTCAGGCTTCATGTGGGGAAGAGAGGTAGTGTTTTTATAACTGTGGAGGCTATGGTCCCATAGGAGACAGCTGAAATTTCTATATCATCCCAGCACCCTGCATCGGGATTCAAATTTATGTGGAATCTGCGACCACGGGAGGAAATTCGATGGGGATCCTTTCACTCTAAACAGAACGGAAGAAAGTAAAAGCTTCACAGCATCTATGTCCAGGAGATCAGTGGTTTTGAAGATTTGATATCTAGTGAATAAACCCTGTCTGCTAATGGCAAGGGTGCTTTGAGAATTGCTGAGCATAAGCAATCAGAATGCCACATTCAGCTAAGGAGAGCCCATCTAGACACATCTGATGCTGCTAAAAAGAGTTCAGAGGGATGGAACACAAACAGAAAGGAATACTGCAGCACTTTGGTATGTTTCTTTCTGTTTTATCCTTTTGTGCTCTGTGTCTATTAATAGTATACATTACCAACTCATCCAACATCTGATTTACTTTTCAGCCGTATATACTTTGCATTTAAAGATACATTTGTGCACAAATCTCTACACAATATTTTTTTTTTTTTTTAATTTGGAATTTTAGAGATTTGAGAGTAAGGCAAAATTGAACTCTGACCATCATGGAATTGGAAAATTGACCATGTAAATTCTAATAAATATAGATTTTTTTTTTTTTTTTTATAAAAAATAAACTCTGAAAAAACTTCATCCGAATTCCTAAAAAAATTAACTGAAAACACGGAGCCCTACAAATTCGCCATAATTCTTGCTTGCGTCAATGCAGGGTGATGAATGTTGAATTAAAATATGAATTTGTGTGGCTTTGTAACCATTTGCTTTGCAAAAGACGCGAGTTGGCTTTTCCAGCTTATAATTTTCAGAAGAGATGTCATAGGAATGTATACATGCAGCAGAAATGAGACTGCACTAAGACATAAACCGTGTTCCTCTATAAATAGCAGCATAGATGTCAGGGAGCCCTTTGTTTTGAATTTTATATTTAACATAACTTTGTTTTTTTTTAATTGTAATTGCATGTAGAAATTATTTTCACAGCTGCTGTTTTACACCACCTACTTTAGCTGGTTGGTTCATGATAATCTAGATACATATGCTACACCTAATATTTTTTTCTAAAACGAGAATAAGGTTTGAGGGGATGAGCTCAATCTTTTCTTAGGAAGATTGGCTTTGACCAGTTTTTATATAAAGCACATTTCAGATGTGGGCACTGAGTAAGATGTGATTTAGCCCCAAATCAAAGAACCATACTTATATTGCATCTATTCTTGGTTTCGCTGGAATCACACTAGCTGCTGTCTGCGCCAACTACTCCATGCTTCCTCCAGGAATATATGGCAGCCCATTCGTTCTTGCAGTGTACTATAGGGATCTCACGTACAGCACATAAGAGTATAACTATCGATAGAAGAAAAATATGTTGTGTTAACTCTTATTGCTTCAGAATTCCAAAGTTTATGTCGAGTCTGTTTTAAGTTCATTTTGTTTTTCTTGTGCCCTGAACTCACATCAATAGAAGGGGATGGATCATTGACTTCCAGGACATGCAAAGCGACTGAATCAGGCTAAGCGTGTACTTTGGCACTTCTTGCACTTCTTGCCACACGATACAATGTGGGATACCTTGCAAGGCCTTTTGGGATTTTTGTGGAAAGGCTCATTGAGGCTTCAATTTTCTCTCGCAGCAATTCTCCATGCCACCCCCGATCAAGACGAGGACGGAACGCTGCCCTCCGACACTCCGCCGGCAGAAAGGGCGTGGCCGCCTGCGGAGGTCCATCAGTCAGCCGGTGGATCTTGAGAAGTCGGAGAAGATGGACCTGCTTCAAAAGGAGCAGCTGAACCACGGTAGGCACAACTCTGCGTGCTTCCGATAAAAAGGATGGAATGCTGTTTTAAATCTCCTTTTCAATGACTGAAAGAGGCCTTGGAAGGCAGCACTGTTCAAAGCTTCTGAAAGATAAAGACATTTTCCAATTCAGGATGGCAAGCAGTCTCAAAACACTTTTTTTTTTTTATGGAGCTTGTGGTTATACCAGATTACTCTACAGTATAAACCTTTGGACACGTGTCCAAGCTAATTAGATCAATTCAAATTTCTAGTTTTTAGATAGTTGGGGGTTCCAGTGTACTTTCAAAATCATCTTCCGCAGGGATCAACGGTTTTGACATAAGCCAATAAAATGGTGTCCCTCTATTGAAGTACTCAAAATGCAGTATTTCTAGGCAGTGATATGAATATTGACAGTTTGTTGACTGACTTGATGCCTTCATAAAAACTCTAATGGTGCTGATAAATAATAAATATCGGGCTTTCATTTTGTCTCCAGGCCTTTCTGACCAAGAGGCTTCGAGGGAACCCAGCACGGCATCCTCCGAGGAGGACTTCTCATCTGACGGAGAATCCTACTTTCAGAACCAAATTCCGAAAGACGTAAGTCTGCTGTGCTGCTGCACATTGAATAATTTTCTTGCTTCACTTATTTGGAGCCAGCAATATTTCACTAATATAGCAATGTCTTTCTATAACTTCTCTCTCAATTTTTACATGAAATACTGTCACCCAGAGTAATAAGAAACATAGCGAGGTTGCAAGAGTAAAATGTAAGCAGAAACTGTTAAATAAGTGGTAATGGTTATTTCAGATAGGAGATAGGCCAAGAGCCTCTATGCTGCAACTTGTTGCTAAGAGAGAGCATAGTGTCCTGAAAATCCTTTGAGGATAGCAACTTCCAAGTTCATGAGACATTCACATCTACTATATTTAGTGAGTGCTTCCTCAATAGAGTAATTTGAGCAAGTGTATGTATCTTTTACCCCATAAAACCTTGAATGGAACTTAAAATTCAATGATTAATATTTTTTTGCTGTAAGGATTGAATCAAAGGACATGTAAAGATGAAAATACTTCTGAATGTCATCTGGATCTGATGCTAATTCACTAAGATCTCTTCTAAACTGTTTTGAAACTTAAAATTTGATGATTAACATTTTTTTTGCGGTAAGCATTGAATCAATGGGCTTGTGAAGATGATAATACATTTTAATATCTGGATCTGATGCTAATTTACTAAGGTCTGTTCTAAACTGGTGTGGTCAACTCTGCATAAAATGAGAATTCAGATGTATGATTCTTTTAGAGTGTATGCATAAGGGCCACAGTAAGGAGTCTTTTAAAGCACCTTCACTAATTATGCTTCTCTTTTGGTACAATGATTAGGCTGGAGTAACCCACCCTTAGGTACTCCAGTTCAGATGCACCTGAAGTATGACTGGGCCCTGAGGCCTGAGGAAAACCATCCCAGTTTCCTTACCACTGTCTGACATTTCTTTTTTATTTAGTGTAGCCAACAGAGTTTGCAGTGTTTTTAGCCACTTTATTGCAGCAAGGGCTGAAGGTCCGGGGATCTCGTCAGCTCTTTTTCAATGTGGCTGCGGACTCCCAAGACACCAATGCCTAGGCTCCTGACTAACTACTGTGAATAGAGTTTGGGGTTTTGTGGCTTGCTCCCTCCTTTTTGTGCCATCACTTTTACCACACTGTGCTCTGGCTCTCTTAATTCAAGTGACCTGCTATCGGGACTCGACATGACTAAACCTCAGATGGGAACGAAAAGGAAGTCACGTAAAAAGGTTCCACAGGTTCAGTCATGTCAGGCGTTCACCAGCTTGCCTGTGCGCTCGCTCATCTCTCATTGTGCCTCACCTTGTTTGTTTTTTTGTTGATTTTTGTGCAGTATGAAGGTGTGACATACGTGGAAGCCCTGTGGGATCACGTGACGCTGGACTCCGAAGAACTTGCGTTCCATGCCGGGGAAGTGATAGAAGTGACAGACATGTCGGACAAGGACTGGTGGTGGGGTTCTATCGAGCAGCGCAACGGATGGTTCCCGGCCGCCTTTGTTCGGGTAAGTTACCTGTGCGCAAAACTAAGGCCAGACATTGGCCAATAGCCAACATTTTTGTGGACAAGTCTTAATTAAGGGACGCAAAATTCAAAAAAAAAATTATTTTTGTTTTTTCAGAATTGTTTTAAACCCACTTTGAGTTTGGCCTTGAAGCCATTCCGAAACATTCAATTTTGAAGTGACAACACAAATAGATGCGTGTTTTGGAATTGCTGAAATGAGTCTCACAAGATAAATGTTGTGTTATTTTTTGTTTTTCTTAAGTTTATATCTTGTGGCATAGATGCAGGCCCTATTCAGGTACCTAAAAACAGATGTTTCTTAGTTTCAAAAAATGAGACAAAAAATGTCTCATTATTATGGACCTAGGTACCCCTTAAGTGCCCCTTAAAAGGGCTGTTCCTGGGAAGAGACGCCATCATACTTTTCGTAAGACATACTGGAAAGGTGGCTAGGCATACCTTTCTTAGTGCTTGCCTAAAAGTGGGTTAAGGGCTGCGGGAAAAGAGCAGACAAGGGGTGGTTTTGCCAGCTCTGTCCTTGGATTCCCCAAAAATGAGCTAACTATTATGTGGCTTTTGTGGGACTTGGCAGCATTGGAGATGTTGAGGTTTTGTGGGACTCAGCGGCATCTTAAAACGGCCCTTTGATTTTTGCGCAGTTACGGGTTAACCAGGAGGACACTGTGGAGGACTGCATGACCAAGATGGCGGATGGCACGCTGACAAAGCAGAAACCCCGCAAGATGAGCGTCAGCCTGCTCAGCAACGAGCAGGTGCGCGCCAAGGTGGTCATGGAGATTGTCAACACCGAGAGGGACTTCGTCCACCATCTGAAGGACGTCGTAGAAGTGAGTAGTTGACTCTGAGGGCTGCCTCAGTCATTCATATTGCTACATTTACTGCAATTATAACATATATGACTTCAGGTTGCTGGCAACCATTGTCAAGCATTCTCTGGTAGCCAGAACAATAGGGAATTTCAGAATAGCGCATGCAAAAGCTCTGTGAATACAAAGAAACGGCGGTGGTGCCACGTGCCAATCAAAAAGACTACCAGGGAAATTCATGAAGCATATGTTATAAAAACAAAGGGTGCAGGTAAGTGTATCAGTGAACCTTCCTTGACCCTGACAGATAAAGAGTGCTTATTTTTTTAGATAAAGAGTGCTTATTTGTTAGATAAAGAGTGCTGATCTTTTAGATAAAGAGTGCTTATTTCTTAGATAAAGAGTGCTTATTTTTTTCGATAAAGAGTACTTATTTTTTAGGTAAAAAGTGCTTATTTGTTAGATAAAGAGTGCTTATTTTTTAGATAAAGAGTACTTATTTTTTTGGATAAAGAGTGGGCACATGAAAAATGATTGGGGGGGGGGTTCAAAGTGTATTTAAGACAGTGTTTTTCTAAATAAAAATTCAGTTGTGAATGCGCCTCGTGTTGTCATCTTCTTTACTCTGTCCCAGGTTTTGACACTTTTGTTTCCGTACAGTGAACCAAATGGCCCAACTCACCATTTTGTGCCAATCAAAAACGCAGTTTGAGCATGATGCAAGTGCAGTGGCAATGACAATCTTTCTTTGCTTGCACAAAGCTGTCGCATATGCCATTCTAAAACATGCTAATAAGTAGCTGCACCAGCTGCAACGCTTTTGACTAGGGTTTTCTGGCTTTGGGGTTCATTTCTCGTGGAATTCGGGGATGTTTTTCGGGAGTTTGGGGGTCTCCGAGATTCTGCGTTCTTGTGCCGATTTTTGGTTTCAGAAAAAATTTCTACACTTATTGGGGCTTATGGATGGCAGAACAAAATTAATCGCCACATATGATGTCATGTCTCATTGTTATGGACCTAGGTATGTTGAACACCGACTTAGAATTGTCTTCTGCCAGGAAAAAAGCTAGTTCCTATAGTTTCCTTCTTTCCATTCTCTCTTGCACTCTTCTCTCCTCCTCTCCCCACAGGAGCGGGTCTCTGAGCTATTCCCAGCAGGAAGGAGGAGAGTCTCTCCCTTCTTGAATGGAAAAGAGAAATTGACAGAGTTTCCTCCTTTCGGGCTACTTGTCGGCCTTCAGTCTATGAAGACAAGATTTTCGTTACTATGGACAACTCGCATTCCGGACATTCTTTTCGGGGAACAGAGGTGTCCATTGTAACGAGACATCACTATTTACATCACGCCTCTATGTACAGAATAAAGGTGATCGTGTTGGATGTTGTTAGAACACCCCGCAGCAACTGATCTGTGTTTTTGTACTGTGTCCTCTGCAGGGATACCTGAAGCCAGTGCTCCGGAGGCCAGACATGTTTTCCGAAGAGCGGCGGATGACCATCTTCGGCAACATCGAGCAGCTGTACGCCTTCCAGAGCAGGTTCCTCGATCATCTGGAGGCCTCTGTCAACTGGGAACAGCCCCACCTTAGTCAGATTGGGAGCGTCTTCTTGCAACACGTACGTCCTCCACATTCCTAGCTCAGAGCAGTAAAAAGAGAGCATGCAGACATATCCCCACTCTAGAGCAGTCCCTTACCCTAAGTGGAATATTTTTCTGTTTTAAACTCTATCTGTGCACATCTCAGCCATCTGCTTGTGCTTAGATCTACCTTGTAGGCGCGGGATGAAAGAGTCATGTGTAACATGACCTTTTATGTTCATTCTGGAGGCTAACAAGTCAGTGTTTAAGCAAATTTGTGTACTATATCTGAGAGCAATTTTGGGCAGGAATGGTTGCCATTTGACTGGTAGTTCAGTAATACAATTGGAATTATGCAAGCCTGCTCAGTGTATTGAAACTACATATTTTGGCTGGAGCAGATCGTTAAATCTGTCGTCTATGGAGACGTTGATTAGTAGCACACCATCTAATCTACTGCTACATTTTGATTGCAGAAGCTGGAATTCAGGATTTACTCGGAGTATTGCAACAACCATCCATTAGCAGTCAGTGAACTTCAAGAGGTCTATGCAGACTCCAAATACGTCCATTTCTTCGAGGTAAGGAATACAGAAAATGCTTCAACATCAAACCCGATTAGGCATGCTCAATTTGCTTACACTGGCCTGCATCAGTGCAGGACACTGAAAGTGAGTCAAATGTGGCTTTGGCAGCAAGATTCAGCTCTTGTAATGCTTTACCTTCATTTCTCTGGCGAACTACCGCTTGTTGCATTGACCTTAGTAACGTGAAACGTCTTTGGCTAGTTGCTCCAGATTTCGTGGAGCCGCATTTCGTGAGGCCGCATTTCGCGAAGCCGTAGTCTGTGACGTCCCATAATGCAACGCGTGCAGTGTTGCATTATGGAACGTCACAGCCAACCCAATTCAGATTTCCCACACCAACACACCAATTCAGATTTTCTGCTAAACTTAGCGGGGAAGTTGAATTGGTGCATCGGTCACATGACATCAGGTCGTATGACGTCACTTTCCCAGCTAAATTCAGTGCAAAATTAATGTCCCGTGACCTACACACCAATTCAGTTTTTCCGTTAAACTTGGCAAGGAAATTGACGTCACGTGATGCTAGAACGTTTCACGTATACAACACAACTGCCCAGCAATTTGCCATACAATTTGTCTATTCTGTGAGGCTGTCGCAATATCCTTTACCTTCATGAAGATGTACACAACATCTTCACAATCAGCTAAAGTCAAATTGATTATGTTGCCAATGTGCCATTAAGCTCAAACATGATCCTTTATGCAAATGATTATTTCTTAATTGTCTATGGTGCATTCTTACGAGTTCCCAGGGGCCTTCAGGTACTGCAGTATGCACCGCGGTTCACATGCTCCACTGTTCACATATTATTGGGGCTCTATACTACAGTGTCCAACAACATCATAAACCCATTTGCCAGCTCATGCAGCGGTGCTAATCACTGGAGCCACTTTATTTTTAGAACAAGAGTAGAAGAAAGTGCCATTTATTTCCACACCACAAGCAGTGTAGGTCTGGCCAAAGCGAATCCTGCAGAGCCACCTGAAACTGCGTCGTTGAATGAATCTTTTATATTGTTAGAGACCGTTTTTACTTTGGCAACTGCTGCCATGCCAGAATCGTCACTCATGTCGCCCCCCATTCCCTTTATGTTGCCCCCGTGTTGCTCTCATGTCACCCTCACGTTGCTGTCATGTTGCTGCTGCATCACCCTCACATCACCCTCACATTGCCCTCATGTTGACCCCTGCATGCAGGCCTGCCGACTGCTCCAGGACATGATCGACATCTCGCTGGACGGCTTCCTGCTGACGCCCGTGCAGAAGATCTGCAAGTACCCACTGCAGCTGGCTGAGTTACTCAAGTACACGCGTCCTGAGCACCAGGACTACTGGGCCGTCAGAGATGCCCTGATTGCCATGCGAGGCGTTGCCCACATGGTCAACGAGCGCAAACGCCGCATGGAGTGCCTCGAGAAGCTGGCCGAGTGGCAGACGGCAGTCTTCAACTGGGAGGTAAGCAGCGCCCTCTCCTTGGTGTGTCTTGCTTGAGGGTTATGGAAAGATTAGCAGCCTTAGAAATGGCACCGGCAACCCCATAACTTGAAAGTGAAAAGAAGAAAGTTATGATGGGTAAAATAAAATAAGGAGATGAAAAAAAAAATGAAACGAAATTACAAATGTGACAGAGTCACAGCAGCACAAGCAAGAAGCAGGTGGCTATACAGTATCACAAAGCCCTTACTAAAAGGCACCCTACAAAACAGGTCAAAGTACAAAAGTTGTCAAAGTACAAAAGTTGCTCTTCAGCTAGCACTGTATACTTTTTTGCTAATTGTCCACTGCAAAGATACACATAACTTCTATGCACAGCGCACTCTGTCGCATTCACTCACTCGAACACGTGATCACGAACATACAGAATCATGGATGGGACATTGTCCTTGCACTTAATAACTATATAAGAGAGTCTTTTAAAATATTGCAAAAAATGCTAAGTGCCCTAGCTCTTTAGAGTCGAGATATGGCCAAGGGCCCAGTATTTTTGTTAAAGATAGGGGACATATGTCCAGCAGTCAAAGACAAATCTTCATCCTGTGCCTTTTAGTGGCAAAGCATTTGCACTCTTAAACGAATACGATGAACATCTTCGAACAGATCACCACATTCACATCTTGGAGACTCACGTTACCGTATTCGGTGCAGAAAGCCGCCTTTAAAAGCCACTTCAAGTCGTAGTCGGTGAAAGAGCAAGAGCATCATATTTTCTTTTTGTCCCGGTACAAGGTACTTCAAGATCAGAGTTAATCTGGGGAAGAGCGCCGAGAGAGTTTTTGATGAAACATTTATGTCGGGAGAGTTCCTCACGGAAGTGCCGCAGTAGGAACTTGGCATCTGCAGGTGTGAAGACCGTCAGTTCCATCGTGTCGCAAGAATAAGCCTCGCCAGCTAAGCGACCTGCTTCAACGTTTCCAGTAATTTCGCAGTGACCTGAAATATATTGAAGGCCTACTCAATGCCCATACTCCCTCTGCGTGAACTATTGTTGCTTGAACTTTGTATAAAAGTGATCCCAAGAAAGAAGGATTTCATGGTTGTAATTTTCAGCAGTTGTAATGCATTCTTGGAATCTGTCAATATTACCCAGTTTTCTGACTGACAAAAGTTGTCAATGAATTTGATGGCTGAAAATATTGCGTGCAACTCAGCCGCTGTTGAATATGTATGATGTGAAAGCTAAAAGCTTTGCTTATACTAAATTTTGGAATGGTGGAAGTAGATGTTCAGCCATTCTTTGAAGTTGATTTGTCTGTATAAACGTGAACAGCATTGCTGTTGTATTGTTCTACGTGATCCCGGGACAGCACTTTTGCAACAGAAGAGTTGACAGATGCTTGGGATTCAATACCTGAGATATCTGTTTGTATGCTGAACAATTTTCTATAATGCATGGATTCCATTGTCTGGGTAATGCGGATTCTTGGGCGAGTTGGTACTGTAACTTCGAGAAAACGATAGCGCTTCAAGACAGGGACGAGAGTAAGAACAAGACAACACAATGCACTAGCGCATTGTGTTGTCACGTTCTTACTGTCGTCCCTGTCTTGAAGCGCTATCATGTTCTCAAAGTTTCCATTGTCTGAACAGTGATTGTTTAAATATATTTAGAAAGCATTGCAGAGTTGTTTCAAAGAACGAAGAACAGATTACATTGCTTTTATTTACCGGCCCCTTCCTACAATATCGCTGTGCACTATAAAGGGTATCAGCATGCCATAACTGTAGTAGGTGACATATGGGGCTCACACCCTGGCCAGTGGAAAGGTAGAGCATCAGACTGTGTACCAGGAGGTGCTGGGTTCGATTTCTGGTGGGAGATGAGTACGTTTTGGTTCATATCTGAATGAGTGCTTCTGGAAATTGTTCTTCTTACGTTGTCAAAGTAACCAAACTTGTTGTGTTGACATGCCTTGTCATGAATTATGCACATATGAAATGACAAAAATTTCTGGCAATAGGGGCTGCGTTATAAAGCGGTGTACGTTTTTATTACAATCCGGTGGCTGACTCTCAAGCCGTTAGCAGGTGATGAGGTTTTAGGTTCTAGCTCAAGTATAACTACTTTCTGCCATTCACGTGTTTTCCAGCGTATAAGTTGTGGCTCTTTTACAAAATTTCCGTCGGTGCATTTTATACAACGTGCAACTTATATGCGAGTTGTTGATGAGAATGTTGAAACTGGCTCCTGCTTGTGCATATATTGTGATCACAATACATATATGCAGTTTCGACGAACCGACCATACAGATATATATAAGTGTGACTTATACAGAGGTGCACAAACTTTTTTGTGGGAGCACCTGTTTATGGAGGGGGTGCAACCTGGAGACTGAAAAGTATGGTATTTTAATTCTGTATGGTAATTCAGTTTAATATTCCTGACTTATCTGTACTTTCATTGTGAACACTTGGACTGTTTGATTGTTACCAGGTTTCTCACATGGGCGCTTTTGCAGTAATGTGCATGTGTTTAAAGTGAGGAACGCTGTCATGGATGAGTCATTGGTGTCCCCACAGGGTCCCGACCTGCTAGACACGAGCTCGATGCTTGTCCACTCGGGTGAAGCGGTCCGCGTTTCTTCGTCCTGGTCCAGAGACGTGGTCAGTCTGTTCCTGTTTGACAATCTCCTGGTGTACTGCAAGAAGGTGGGTCTGCACTTACTCATTGTTTTCTTGATAAGTTTGAGACGGGGCCCTTAAAGGGACTCTGAACCCCCCAAAACTGTTCTTAAGTGCCTTGATAGGGCAAATAGATCATTGAATGCACCCCCCCCCCCCCCTTACACACCAAAAAATATATTTATTTTTATTTTGATAGTTGTAATGATTTTAAATCATCCTCTTGTTTTGGGGTTGACATCACTAAGTAGAAGCATCATGCTTCTACTTTGATTCCCGCAAAATAAATAACGGAACATTTTTTTCTTTTATTTTTTTTAGTGGGATTTGGTAGTTTTTAGGAGCAATTAGAAACATGCTTTGATTTCGGGATCGACATATGGTATTAAAGCATGTTTTGAAATTGCTCCTAAATCTCAATCTGTTTCGCAACCTAACTACTCCAAAAAGAAAGAAAAAAATGACCACATCTCCACGTGGTGAATGATGTTGATTGGGGCGAAGCTCTGGTGGTGGTAATGATACTGATTTTGTTTATAGGTACAGTCAAACCTCGATATATCAAACACGGATATATAGAATTATTGCCTATATCGAACGGTTTCGATATCACGCGGAAAATCGCATGCATTTTTTATTTTTTATTTCGAACGGGGTCGGGCATAAAATGGATATATATTGAACTCCGCCACCCCAAACAGCCCGCACTCTTTTGACAGGCGGCAAGCTTTCCCGCAACACCCTCGAAGATAGCGGTGGGGCAATGGGCGCTTCCGACTGCCTACACACACGCCGAGGGCGCCATTTGAACGTAGCAGCACGCGCACGCCGCTGCCTGGATAGTTCGTTGCAACGTCAGCGACGCACTGCATTTGCCGTACCGACTCCTCCTCCTCAGTATTAGGGAGTTTTAGAATAACGTACGCAATTTTAGCGCACGCTAGCGCTAAATTTAGCGCTTGTATTAGCGCACGCGACGCAGGGGAGTTTTAGAATAGCGTTTCTCCGCCGCGACGCAAAAGCCCAAGCATCTCGCGTTTGCGACGCCACCAAGATACAGTCAAATTTTTATTTCACACACAAAATGATGTAACTTTAAAAGAAAACGAGTTTTTTGGTCCAGTGTAGCATTTTAATTAGTTTAAACATGAGAACACGACGCGAGCGGTTGACCGGTCGTGTCCGCTTGCGTCGCCTCGGCAAGAGGTCTCGTGTACTGACCTTCGCACATCGTTCCTTCGCCGTGAAATGTTCGCGCGTCGCAAGCATCAAGTTGCCAGTGATCGTTGCCAAACCGAGTGCAATGTCGTCCCGTATTGAAAACCGCAGTCGCGAGGATGCCGCCGACGTCGCACTCACGACGCCGTCAAAGCAGCCGCCGACATAATCCTGGAAGTCGCCATTTTTTTTAACTGTGCTCGTCTTGGCTTTAGCCAACTGCTCATCACGAATCCTCCTTGGAGAAGCGCAAAGACTCTTTGCGTACGCACGCTATTTCCGAGAAATAGCGCGCGCTAAAATTGCGCACGCAAAGCGCAAAACCTGGTTTGCGTTCGGAGCATGCGCAGTGGCGACGACGCTATTCTTTGCGTACGCAAAGCTTTAGCGTGCGCTATTCTAAAACTCCCTATTATCGGTAGTGCTGCGCGCGTGATCATATTTTCGTGTGTCGTGTTGCCTTGCGTGAGTGATGGCTCCTAACGCTAAAAAACGGACGTCCCTGACATTTGCTGCAAAACTGGAAGCTATCCAGCGGGTTGAGAATGGAGAAAAAAAGTCGAGCATCGCCGAAGCTTTAGGCCTACCGAAAGCACTTTGAGTACTCTACTGAAAAACAACAGTGACATAAAGGCCAAGGGAGAACAGAACCAGCACTCAGGCGCGCCGCGTGTACGCAAAGCTGCCTTTGAAGATGTTGAGAATTCGCTGCACAAATGGTTCATCGTCGCAAGGGCCGGAATATCCCTGTATCCGGACCGATGTTACTATAGAAGGCCAAGACCTTTGCATTCATTCTCGGCGCCGAGAACTTCAATGCCAGTAGCGATTGGCTGCAACGTTTTAAGGCACGCCTTAACATTGTCGGGAAGACAGTCTCGAGGGAAAGTGAGGACGCCAATGAAGAGGAAATCAAGAAGTGGCTTGATCCAGAGTGGCCCCATGTTCTCGCCAAGTACGAGCCGCACCAGATATTTAATGCGGCTGCTCCCGCCTCTGCGGTCGGTCGGCGCGCATGTGCCGCCTGTCCGCGCTTCGCGCTTTTTATGTGATTTAATATATCGAATTCTGGCTGTATCGAACTATTTTGCCATCACCGCGCAGTTCAATATATCGAGGTTCGACTGTAGTGCTGATGGTGCTGATTTTTGTTAATTTTTATTGCTCATAGGTAGTCCTGAGTTCCGGGTTGCGTTTCGACTTCATTAGCCAATGCATGCAAAGTTCAATGCGATTATATACGCATTTGACCGCAGCGCCCTCTCCTGTATAGACACAACGTTTCATCCATGACATCCCCAGCTCTTGAGTTACTACAACATCTCAGAGCCCCCTGCTCGTCCGGCAGTCGTGGCCGAATGGTTAAGGGGATGGACTAGAAATCCATAGGGGTCTTCCCGCGCAAGTTCGAATCCTGTCGACTGCGCAAACATTTTTTTCTTTTTTTAAGAAGACAGATGGGATGGCAATCTTTTATTTTATTTTATTTATTGATACTGCCGGCCGCTAATACGCAGCCAAGGCAGGAGATATACACAATAAAATGCACTTGAAAATAAAATACACAGGTGCGGTGGCGTTACAACTCGTAGAGGAATAAAGGGCCAACAGATGCCCTTGATAGGATTCTTCCCATGCAAAGAATGACAATGTGAGCACGGACGCTGGACGGACAAGGCTAGACCCTAAGGAGCTTCACCCCTAAAAGAAAATTTTTGGTTGAAAAGTTTATTTTATGACAATCTTGTCCTATCCAGACATAAAAAAAAATAATTTGGGGGAAGTTCCTTTTAAGAACGTATGTCTCTTTAAAACGTATCTCTCTGGCCGCTGCCAGAGAGAAGACATACATACGTTTGTGGAGTTGAAATTTGGTGATGAGATTTGGGATTTTTTGCCCTTCAGACATTTGTCAAGCTCAACACTCTCTCTGTCTCAGGGCAATGGTGTTTTTTGCGCTGATTTTTGCTAAATTAAATTAGTGTATAAGTACACTCCAGTTGGGGTTTCCCACTAAATCTAGTGCCCTGAACGACTGTTGTATTTAAAACAAGCTGGTGGCTATTTTATAATGAGAAAAACCCGAAACTGAGGAACAGTTGTTCCCTTTTGCAGGACATGATAAAGCGCAACACCATGTCGTACAAGGGCCGACTGAACATGAATTCCTGCTGCGTCAGGGATGTCGAAGACGGAAAAGGTGAGGATGGCCCATCCGAGCTGTCTTGCGTGGACCCTGGACCAGCGGTTGAGCTCCTCTGTTATTGTTTTGTTTAGCTGTCAAGGAGAAGGCATGCATGCCCTCCATACAAACTACAGAATTCATAATGCGGTCCCACCTTTTGAGAGATACGTATAAAAAACATATGGTCATCATTCATAGAATTTGTATGTACCACTAATGGACGGCCCTACGTCATTTGCTCCGCACAAAGTACATAAATCATTCTTTGTGCAATCTGCTCTAAAGCATGATCACGAATTTAAACTAAAGCTGTTCACTGCAGCAGGCAGCACTGGCCTTGTGTCGTCACCGACATTTATGTGTTTCAGCAGGGTGGGTTGGAGTTGTGGCGGTATTATAACGAGCGCGCAAATTTTAAAAAAATGCAAACAAGTTGTAGAATGAAAAAACAATCAAGGTGGCTACAAAACTACATCATCGGCATCACCATTCTTCAAAAAGAAGGATACTTAAACTGTTATTATGCGACAAAAAGGAGTCATTGTTGGTTCATGCCTCTGTCTATACTTAGTTTTACCTTGCGATGGACCGCAACGGATGCTATAAGTCATGAGAGACAATCCAATCCAATGATATGTGATGCTGTGTGATTGCCTTTGGGAAGGGTGCAGCGGCTTGTAATGCACCTAGTCGCACAATACATTCCCAGCGCTGGATTGGCTGGGATAGACCCTGGCGTCCACTGCGGTCCGTTGTAACGTGAAACGGATCTTAGTGGCATATACTAAAGAAAAAGCTATTCGAGCACCTCTAAGCCCGAGACAATCTTACGAACCCCTTTTGTGTTTTATGCACGAGACTTTGTTAGAATGCATCTCAGTGCTTTCGATTCCAGTGACTAAGGGCCTGTTTACACATACGGTGCAACGCTAACTAGGTGATATATAGAGATAACACTGACAATTGCAAGTACAGATCAGCAGTGTATCAGTGCTCCACCGCATATCTCAGCCTTATCTTGTTTAGTCGCATAGTGTGGAGCTACACCTGCACTCAGTCGGCACAGACACTAGCTCGGATGCAGTGCTTACTTTGCACTGTCTCAGTCAGGGGCGGATCCAATGGGGAAGGTGACAGGGGCGGCCACTCCCCCCCCCCCAAACATAAGTCGAACCCCCCCCCCCCCTCCTCCCTCTCGGAGGGCAATTTGACATGGGTGGACCCCCGGTGCATAAGAAAAGATGGGAGAATGGTATCCTTACAAATTCCCCCCCCCCCCAAAACGGAGTTTTGGATCCGCCCCTGGTCTCAGTGCTGCACTGCATGTTTGAACTGGCCTTTATTCTTATTCGAAGAAAACAGGTTCGACCTTTTGAAGCACCAGTTCTTCGCTTGCCCTAAAACCTCACGCCTTGTTGCTTGCCTCGTCCACAGATTCCCAGTTTGGGGTGAGTGTGAAGAACGCCTGGAAGGTGTACTGCTCGTCCAGGGAGAAGTGGTACCTGTTCTTCGCCAAGACGGCCGAGGAGAAGGACAAGTGGCTTCAGGCGTTTAAGAACGAGAGGGACCGCGTTCGAGACGACAAGGAGCAAGGTGAGCATTGAGCATGGCAATGAAGGTGTGAACAAACGTGGCAGCGGACAATCTACCGGGTGTTTGAAAGAAAATAGAACAGTGTTTTTCTTGCCACATAAGGAGACTATGGATCGTGCAGCGCCCACTCACCAGTCTAGGGTTGTGCGAATATTCAAATGGTAGTTTCAAATAATTCCCCATTCAATATTTGCTTTGAGATGAACTGCGACATTTGTGTTTTTTAGCAGCGTAGATCGCGGCGGGTTGTCCTTGTTAAGAGCGCTTCTTACCGAGCACCTGTGCGCTGCGGAGAAGCAACACCCGCGGAGCTCGCATAAGCGGATGTTGCTCCTCTGCAGTACACTAGTGCACAGTAAGAAGCACGCTCAACGGGGCAAACTGGCAGCCGTTAAATGCTTCCAACGATACCAATATCGCAGTCACAGGCTTTGAAGAAAAGCACACTTCAAAGGCGAAACAGTACATGCATGCATCAGGTGTATTTAAAAAAAAAGGAAACTTTGTGAATGTATTTACATTGCAGTAAAATATTTAGAATTAAACTATAGCTAGTGCGCACGAGTATATGTAGGCAGAGGTGCCCTGACAACCTGCATTCGTCATTATTTTTATTTTTTTAGTTCGAGATTGAAGAAAGGATATTTGCATTTGGCAAATAGATTTTAGGTATAACTAGACATCTCTATACCTAGGTATAGTTTTGCGTCAAATCCCTTATTTACTTTTTAACCCAATGTAGGAATTGGACTTTTCGAGGCTACAGTTCATAAATATAGTTAGATTCAAATGAACTTAGCTTGGCTTAGAAATGAGCAACTGGAAGCTTAAGAACAGACTTCACAAGTTCAGCTGCGTTTTCGGTGAACCATCTCTTTTGACCAGTAGATAGGGGCTCGGAAAAAGTATTTGATACTGGATTCGAAAATATTCGGTCAAAAGCTGTGCGAGTTTTAAATTTGCTTCAGTCTTGAAATTCACTATTCACACATGCCTAGACATCACCCCATGTGTAGCACTTGAACCAGATGCTAAAGTTTCAGAGCTTAATGTTAGCTGAGGACAAAGTTATGAGGCAGGTGAGCTGGTTGTTAATTGAAATACTAAAACCCGAGACAAAGGCAAAAGAAGGGGACAAACACAACATCCCATTGTGTTTGTCTCCCTTTTTTTTGCCTATGTCTCGGGTTTTAGTATGTCGATTATGGGTTGTCGAACTGTGTTTCTAGAAACTCTGCGGTTTTTCAGAGTACCCTCTTGGGTCCCCTGAACTCCTAGATTTTCTTGACCATTCCTGCCCCCAAGTTAACTTTTCTTTTCAGTTTAAGAACTATATTAGCAGATTTAAGCCCCCCACTAATGCATAACTATGTGCAGAACACTTCCTAATATGGGCATTAATGTCTCCAAGGTCTATGCTTCTGTTCTGCTTTATTGCCCCAATGCCAAGAACGGGGACGGTTCCTCGGATATCGGTCGAGAGAGGCAGGCGTTCCTCGATCTGGAAAAGTTGCAGTACACCTGCGTTGCCGATTCAAAAGTTATAAGCTATCTTCGGAGATTTTCGTTAGGGAAATGTCGGGCACTGAGGCCCACGAATACGTGGAGATGAACGACGTTCGCTAATGGGAGCAAACCCGTTTCTTCACTGAAAATTTAAAAAAAGATGGCTTGTAACTTTTTAATTGGGTAGTGCCAAGTTCTAAAACTTTTGCATTTGCTCCCAACTGCCAGCACTTAGTTTGGGCGGGGACCGAGTGTTTGGCGACGTATAATTTATTTTTGTGGCAAGAAAGACGTGGTTCCCTTTGTCCCAAACACCCGGTATAGTGGGGAAGATGGAGACTTTTCTTTTTTCCAATAACCAGAGTCGATAAAAACCTTTGGTATAAGGAATTTTTAATGAACTTCCCGGAACATCATTTTTGTGGCCATTGTGGACATTGTCCCCCAAAGTCACTTTTGTTCGAATTTTGGTGGAAAGAGAAAGGGAAACATTTTTAGCCTTTGCTGAGGATGGCTTTTTAAAAGCTGGCATTTCACCCAAGGACAATCTACCATTTTGAGAAATCGCCGGTCTGCGAGGTTCTGGTATGACCTCCGTACGAGTTCAACATGACCGAGTGCGAGCACTTACAATGCTTCCACTCCGACTTACGAAAGTGACATTCTGGGGTATTAGTGATACCTCAGAACATCACTTTCGTCCAACCTTGCTGAAAATATACTATTTCTTTTGTCATCTTGCCCACCCCAGAAGCGCCAAAGTATTTTTAAAAAAGCCAGTTAGTAAGTGCTTTGCTGCTCAACTTTTAACCTGTTTGGCTTCTGTGCTGAATGAATGGGGAAGGGTGTACCAAGATGGGTTGGTTCAGCATTATTGCAATTCAATAATGAAGATTTGCAGACGAAAAAGCAAATTGTGACCGGGACATGGTCTAAACTAGACATTGAGATCTTGTTTCTGTTACTCTTATGTTGTCATCATTCTTAAATTTTCAGTCTTTAGCTGTAGTTAGATATTTTTCCAATCTATAAGTTGGATCATTTTTTCAAATTTTTATCGGTGTATTTTTTTACAACTGTGCAACTTGTATGCATTCTTTCTATAAGTATGGACCGTAACTGTGGAAATTTGCCGCAGGAGTTAGTGGACATTTCTCTTTAGATTTCTTGACGAGAATATTAAAACCTGCTTCCGCATATATTCTGATCATAACACACATATTTTTTAATGCAGTTTCGCTGCATTGACCGCACAAATATATAGATGCAACCTATATACAAAATTCTTTTAAAAACAGCTTTTCATAGGGGGCTGTTGCTTATACAAAGGTGCAAGTTATAGACCGGAAATCATGGTAGTTGTATATTGTGCGTTCTAACAAGAACCTTTAGAAACAAATATTTGGTTTCATTTCTGGCAGTGTGATCTACGGCATTGACTGTGTTGTCTGCCGTTTTCTTGTGTCAGGATACGTTGTGACCGAGAACGCGAAGAAGTCTGCTCGGATGGCTTTCCACAACAAGTTGAAGCCCAAGAGACCTCGAGGTGAGTAGTGCTGATGCCATGCAGAATTACTTCCTCATTCACGTTGCTGCAGTATTTTAAGTTGCTAATACATTCTCAGTGCATGCGAGGGCAGAGACACAATATTTTGGGCTGCACCGAGCGATGGTCAGACACATGGGAATAGGATGCACACCCAGGCAGTTTTATGAGTCCCCGAAAACCTCCAAGTGGCACAGCATGCCTCAAAGGCCACGCATTCCGCTGTTTGCATTTCGTTCGTGCCCATGAATACATGAAGCAAAGTATCAATGTAATTTCTGTAGATTATATACCTTGTTAGTTTTCATGGTAGTTCAGTTGGAAGGTAATGAAATAACATCAGGTGTTAATGTTGTCACCTATTGTAATTCACCAGTGTGCACAGATCATCACTAGATTGTGATGTATGGTGGAGGTTACTGTGGAAATGATGCGGGCAACACTGGCTATGTATAGAATAGGTATTATACAGAATGATACTATTAGAGTAAAATGACTATTCATTCACACATAGCTAAAACTGGTTGCTTGATTTGGGAATTTCCAGCAATTTCTTGCACCGATTGCATGAACTTAAACCCACATTATCTGGATGGGATCAACATAAATATACTGATATATCTCTTCTCACTCCGGCTATGCAGTCAAAGCAGGGTTGGGCAGTATCGCGATACAAATGTATCGCAAGTAATAGCCGCACTACAGAAATACCCTTGTAATAGTAATAGCCGCACTATTTTGTGAACAAGGCCCTTGCGTCTACTTTCCTACGGAACACATATACAACCAATCATTGTGTTGCGCATAAATGACATAGCGAATAACCAGATGGATTACACGATTCTCCATACAAATGCAATCTTCACAGATGGCATCTCTGCACGAAAACGTTATCTCTGTCCTGTAAGCAGCTGGAATCATGCTGTCGATCGCGGCGATTGGCAATCTGCGTGCTTTGCAGAAAAGCGAATCCTCAGGTTTTTTTCATAACCAGTGCGGCTATTACTCGAGCAATACGGTATTTATATTTCTGCATCACGATACAATTTTTCAACTGTATTTTGTATTTCTGTATCGAAATAGAATTTTGGGAGTACCGTATTTTTCAGACTATAGTCTGCACCCAGTGTATAGTCCGCAGAGGCAAATTTGGGGTCAAAAATGAAAGTTTTTGCTTAGATAGTCCGCACCCACTACATAGACTGCACCCAGTGCATAGTCTGCACCTGGTGCTTAGTCGACACGAAATTCTTCTCATGCGCGGCACACCTTGACATATGTATGTTTTCTTAGCTCACAAAAAAAGCCTATAATATACATAAATTATCAATATAACATACTCTTTTATTCACAAAATCCGTCCCGTCTCGTCATAATCAACGATATTGAAAAACATAATTCCTGTATAGTCCGCACGCGTAGATAGTCCGCACAGCCAGAAATTTCAACTTTTAAACATGTATAGTCCGCGGACTATAGCCCGTAAAATACGGTATTCTTGATGTCATGATACTATGAGGGCCAATGTATTTTGTGTTACAATTTTAAAAGATTTATTGACCTCCACAGAGAAGGTCAAGACCAAGTGTTTCCCCCAACGTTAGGTGGTCGACTATTCCAGTCGATTGCAAAAATTGAAGGCTCTTGTTGGCGCTTCCAACTAACAGATAAAAGAACATGGGTTCCTTGAACTTCATTCCATGGTGACGTTATAAGGTCACTGCTGAGAAAGGCTTGTGGTTTGGACATAATCATAGTGACTTCTCGAGGTTATTTTGGAGGACACAAAATGGATCTAGATGTCCCTGGGATTTTGTCTCGGAAAGATAAGAGATGCCAAAACAAAACCGCGCTTGAGCCACGGTGAAAAAATTGCTCGCTTCTCTTGCTACTTCCCAAAATACGAGATTTTAGTTTTGCGGTAAATTTTATTCAAGCTTAATTTGGGCTCCAACATGCAGTGAGAACTCGCTTGCTGGTTTAAAAACAAAAGCTTGTAGTCTAGAGCATGCTTCTTTTTTGTTCTTCGTGTGCTTTAAGGGGAGCACCAAAACATGCAATGTTTTTATAACAATGTATTTCAGTGTCTGTATTTTAGCCTCACCAAAATCTACTCCTGTATTTGTATTTCCAAATACTTTTCTATTTTTCAAATGTATTTCCGATACGTATTGCGATACATTTTCATAAATGTATTTGATTATCAGTATTTTTGCTGTTTTTGCCGTGTATCCCAGTATTCATACTTCCAAATACTTTTGAGAGTATTTCTGCCCAACCCTGAATCAAAGCCTACTACCAAGTGCTTGCACACTTTAAGCATGAATCAAAGCTATGCAGATGCACTTTCTACTTCTTGGAAAGTGCTGCAGCAAGTTGTCTCAAGCATAGGTCAACGTGCTGTTTATAAACAAGTCTGCATTTGCTCACACCAGGTGTGGGCACTGCACGCGCATAGAAGCCAGATTCGCGTGAGGTGAAACGTCTGCCCGTGCCACCGCGCTGACAACAGTGCCACCACGGCGGCTCGACGTCATAGTCGCCCGTTGGTGTGTAGCTAAGTGTAACCTTTTGTTCAATTATCATGTAAAACCTCGGCAAGCTGTCCTTTCAGTCTCCACTCTCTAAGGTCCAAGTTTCTGTGGATTATATCTGCACCTTAGTACCCAGCAGTCAGAAGTTTAGTTCGGTAGCTTTAAAGCATTCCTTGGTTGGCATGCTTTTTGGTTCATCCCCTGGTATCGATTTCACCGTTTGCAAAATGAGTACTATTAATTATAGTCGTGTCTTCTAGAATCACATATTTTCTCAGCATGCATCAGTTTCCTCTTTCATGTGTATGGTGGAATAGAAGGAGAGTTCAGAAGCCTTTCAATTTCTTTGTAGCTGCATCTGTAGCACTTGCAATATGTTGGAGCCATCACGTTTGTTTGGAAAACATTGAAATCTAAAGTTTCCAGTAATGTTCAGTACGAATCGAACACCAAAGCTACTTAAGAAATTGGAAAGAAACATATACAGGCTGGAAGCTGTCCAAGGATTGGTAGTGCATTCCACGTTTGCAATCAAAGAAGGGTAAAATTAATAAATTAGCCATATATTACATGAATGTTAGAGGGATTTTTTTTTTCTAACTTCCAATGAACTGGTTACGAAAATACAAGAGCAATGAAAAATCTTTAAACTTGTGCGACTTCGTAATAACTATTCTAAGTCTGAGTACAGTGGCCTCACGAGGGTCAGCGGCATCCGGGGCAGTAACCCCCCACGACACCGCCCCTCCCCCCCACTATCGCGTGGCCCGCCGAGAAACCCTTCCCTCCGCTCTCATGGCCCGCCGAGACACCCTCCTGAGCACTGCACCCGGGTGGTCCGCCCCCCCCCTTGTGGTGACGCTACTGCCTGAGTAGTGATTTTGCGCAGTAACCAAAGCATGTATCTGCATTCTGCCTAAATGTAAAGGTTTTTCATCGCTCTTGTTTTTTTACCGAGGTAGTTCATCGGAAGTTGAAAAAACACAAAAAAAACTCCTACTTTGTTACTTCTATGCTGATAAACAGTGCACACTAGACGAACACACTGTAGAAGACATCAGACAGGACAGGCACTGACTGACAACTCAATATATAAAACACAGAAGGAAAGCGGACAATAAAAATCAAAAGGGAATGTGTCCATGGCACGGGGAGCGCGTAACACACATAGCACCGAACACAGGAATAAGATGATAAAATTCAGAGGGGAATGTGTCGATGGCATGAGGAGCACATAACAAGTGTAGGAAAAAATGCCCCCAGAAGAAATGTCCCCACCAAAATGTCCCTGGAGAAAAAGTCCCCGGACAAAATGTCCCCAGGTGGAAAGGGGAAAAAATGTTCCGAAAGGATTGTTTATTTCTGGGTTTCCCTGACCTTTGGGTGGTCTGGTCATATGTCCTCGGGAAGAAAGGCACCGTGTGGCAAGTAGGAAAAAATGGCCCCCACTAATAAGGAAATATACGATTCCCCGAGGTACACATCGTGACACTGTTAGTGCAAACACAAAATTGGCACATCTTCACATTTTACTTAGAAAGAGTATTAGTGTAAACTAAGTTTTATCATCTGCATTATATCCCCAAATAAGCACTTTCAGTACCTGTAATAACTTTGATGACAATTAACCTTCCACTTCTATGAAAAAAAGATTTAAAAAAAAACAAAAACTAGCGATCTCTTGTTCGTGTTAACAGTGTCGCGCTTTTTACCTATTTGGGAATGGTGCACAGGTACCTCTCAAATTTCCCCAAACACAATAATTTGGTTTTGGCTAGAAGTGTTATAAATGTTTATTTCACAATGAAAAACAAACAAAAATAGTTGAGATGCAATGTTACAAAATCAGGAACGAAATGGCACAGAGATCTAGATTCATACACAAAAGTCAAAAGCAGATGGTATGGCCAACGGCACACATGAAATCTTCAATTCTGATTGCCCCAGCGACATACCTTTCGCAGAGGTTGTGAAGACTGCATTGCATTTCAACGAGTGTGGACTCAGGTCATTTGTGATTGGACAATGACATGACTGCCCGAAGGCCATGAGAATCGGGGGAAAACCCAGGAAAGCGGAAAAATGTTTCCTGGACATTTCTTCCTACTTTTCACCTGGGGCCTTTTTTTCCTGGGACATATTTTCTGGGGACTTCTTTTCTGGGGACATTTTTACTGGGGACGTTTTTTTCTGGGGACATTTTTTCCAGAACTTGTTTTACCCATAAAACAACCATGCATCTCATATATGAGCGTAAAAATGAAACCTCCTTTTCGGATAGTGCCACAAATGGTTGACTGACGCAGCATTCCCCCCAACCCATTAAAGTGAGGGCTTCGTAGATCTTCCTCCTAAGTTTGTCCCTGTATCTACCAATAGAATTATGAGCAGGGTTGGCTCTCAAAAACAAACTTGCCAGTGTAAGGGCAAGTGACCTCCAATCGTTGCTGGAGAAACAGGTTAGGTTGACGAAGTCTGTCATTGATACAGTGACCCGTTTGTCCTACATATGTGCTCCCTTTATTATGAGGGGTTTGGGAAAACCCTCCGTAAGTCAACCATCTCCGAACAAAGGAACTGAGTTTGCACATGCAAGTTTTTTTTCTGGACGAGCGACCAAGCGCAAGACACAAAGCCACTAAGCTGCGCATATGAATTCTTTTGCAGCCAAACTGCCCAAGGGCCCTCGCTCGCAGCACCCGGACGTAGCAGTGGTGGAGATCCTTCTTGATCCGCCGGGCCCCAAGCCGCGCACGGGGAGTCTCCCCTCGACATTGCACATGAGCTACAGCGCACCCGCCAATGGACTGCCCAAGAAGAAAGGCTCCGGCTGGTTTCATTTTGGCAGCGGCAAGAAGGTGAAGAAGTGACGTTCCTCTCAAAGACAGGGGCAATGCCCCCGTACCTCCTCGCTTGCATTGTTCGCAAGTCCCAAGGACTACACCTGAGATTTTGTGGAAACTATTTATTGTGCACGGAGGAAGCAGCCTTTTGGATACCATTTGTCCCGCAGAGGGCACTCAAGTCTTTAAAGATGGCATCTTTTTTTTTTGTAATCTTTGAATTATTTTTTTTTTCTTACAGTGGTGTTGTTGACTGGCATTGTGAAATTAGTTTTTGGCCATGTTGCGAAGGTTCAGGTTTATTGGGACTGCGTGCGGACGTGGTTTTGCGTTGACGCGTGGGGTGTTGCCGAGAGTTTGGAGAGGAGCTCTTTGTTCCTTTTCTTTGCCACTTGACAATGAAACCTTCCACGAAGCCTCGAGATTTTCTTGGTACAGGTCAGCTGCATGTCCGTTGTTGAATGAACTGATACTATAAATTGAGGAAAATGAGACTGAAACCTTTCGTTAAACGGTTTGCATTCCATGTTGTCCGCAAATGTGTGTTAAGTCTATTACTAAATTGTTGTTGTGCAGTGTTTTTTCTATGAATAGGTAACTCAAGTTATGAGCAATAGCATCATTTGTAAATGAGGTTAATACGGATAACGTACAAATTAGTCTGGAGTGTGCGAGTGCTGTTACAATGTGGCGCAGTTTGTGCAAAGAAATGTCTCGATGAAGCATGCAAGACACTGTTGCTGCCTTCTCTGGAGGTCAATCACCAGTATATGCTATTGTATACTTTGTCACGATTGATGTCTAGAGCCGTAGGCACCTCAATCAATGCGATACATGAATTAGTAGACATTCGAATTTGCCGATTGATCCCAGACGAAGTGTGGTACAAGCATTTTTGTAGCAGCTTCCGTCAGAGAGACGAACAATCAAAAAACATTTATTTCCACAATTGCTCGCTTAGTGTAGCAAACTAGCACTTGCATAAAGAAAGAAGTGCATTTGACAAAAAAAATTTTCACATTGGTAGCAGTGATCAAGTGAGCTGTTTAGGGAGATAATAATTTTTCATGTATCTGTTTACATGGTAGCTGTGTATATACTTCTCCCAGTTAGTGCTCTTATGCGTCGCCTTGGACGTAACCCTGCCTAATGTGGTTTTAGACAGGAACCCAGACCTGTAAAGCTGTTATCCCTGCAGTGCGACGACTAGGCAAGTTTCCGTTTGCCACATCGAGACGCGCATTGGAGCTGGAGAACCTCGCGGTTCATTTCCTGTCTATGGTGTGTTGCGAGCGCAGCTGCTTTTGTTTTTGTAATATATATCGTAAAGACTAGTCTAGTTTGGATTCCCAGAGGCAGCACAGTTCCCCTAACCCCACCCACACAAGAACAGAGTATGAATGATGGTTGCCAACTGTTTTTGGTGCAGAAGTCCGGACAGACGCTAACCAGTTCACGATCGTACTGACAGGACTCGCATTCACGGGTTTCTCGGAAATACTGTTGCCACTTTGAGACTCTTTATCGACAGTTGTGGGAGAAAAGAAATAAAAGACTCCCTTTGAACGCAGCGTTGATGTTATACGATGTTGCACAATGTTTCACAATGTATCAAAATGTTTCATGATGTAATATTGGCGGCAATGGCACCCGGCGCGTGCAGTGTTGTGGCCAGCGACGATGTCCGGCCGGTGGCGTGCATGCGTGCAGTGTTTGAGGGCCCAGTCCCTTGGCCGACCCCGAGCACAATCTTCTGACGATGTCTTCCAGCGGCAAGAGTACCCTTGTAGTCTCGGTTCAGCTAGTCTGTGAGGAAAGGCCCGAGGAGGCTGCACTCCCCGAGTCATGGCACCGTGCACCTGTCCCTGTCCGAAAAATACAAACTGTACATAGTCTGTATATTTTAAAGTGTGTACATACTTTTATATGTTCTTACCATTTTAGGACGCTACAAAGTGCTTATGCGTGGAATTAAATGTTTGCATTTAACACCGACATGCGTTACTCTGTGGTTTCCTGGGAAGCTTCCTGGCATTTGCTGGACGTACATAAGATCTGCTCACACGCGCATTTTGGCGCCGAGATAATGCAAAGTCAGCACCGCTTCTATGCTGCCCCGAGTGCTAACTGAGCACAGAGTGTGCGTAAGCAAAAAACAAAAGGCGGGGTCTCAGGATATAGCGCAAAGTTGGCGCTTGGTCTATAGTTGGCACTGTGGTGTATCTGTGAACAGGCCTTTATGTGGTGAACTAAAACCCTGAGGCTCGAGAGAAAGACAACGAAGGAGGAGAGGAAGAACAGGAGTCTCAAACACAGCTGAAATTTATTTTGACGAAATCTCGGTTATATAGGTTTCAGGCACCTTCACATACAGAAAAGAGAAAAAGTGCACTTCTCCTTCTTCCTCGTCTTTCTCCCTAGTCTCAGGGTTTTTTAGTTAATATTCAATCATCACCAGCTCATTTTCTCCCCAATATTCAAACCTTTATAGTGCAAAACGTCTATGCCAGATACCTTGGTGCAGTTCGGTAGACATGGTTCTGCAGGCATTTTGAGGATGTCTTGATGTTACATGAACATCTTGTGGACATGCAGGGGACAACTGTGCCACCTAGGCAGATGTGGTTCAATTTGAAAAAGAAGGCTCCAAGATGTCTGTGCTGCCCAAATGCTCGAAGTATACTGCTAGCCAGCAGAGCTCTGCCCGTTTGATGCATCGAGATAAAACAAAACGGGCCAGTTGAACGGTCGTGGCGAGCGAAGCGGTGGCAACATTCACTATACTAAGTCTGACAGCAGCCAACGTTGCGATCTGCTGAAGCCAATCAAGCGGTGCCAAAAGGGCATCATTGTGGTGCTCGTCGTCTTTATGGGTTCGGTATTGCTGGCTAAAGCAATTGCGCACAAAAAAGCGCAGGATGGAACAACATCCACTGTGCACGATTGGTTCGTAGCGTCGGCCGTGGTGGGACCTAATGTGGAACGGAGTATAGCAACGACACCGAAGTGGGGCGTGGTACAGGCAAAGGTCTCAATCTCAGTATGTGTCCAGTCCTCTGCAGCATTCATCAGGTGGCACCGAGTGCCATGGTGCGCCTAAAGGCCCCTTATACGGAAAAGCAGCGACATCCTTTGAACCGCCTGCTATCTTGGAGCGATCCAGGCGGCACTATTGTGGACGTGCGAAAGAGCGAAAAATTAAGATAAAGGAGCATGCACGGGGAAGGAGGCGTTGCCCTCAATCAAGGAATGCCGAAAGTATAACGTCGCAGCTCCCATCGTCCTTCTTCGAACATATTCTTCACAGTTCATCCACTTGAGCGCAGAGGGTGTACCGTGACAGTGCTCTTTAGTCCGCATATATGTTTTTGTGTCTTATTTAGCCTTTGACTGAGCTCCTGCTCCAGTTGGAAATTAGCATAAGGCTGCCATCTAGGAGCGATCCAGGCAGCGCTACCGTCTATGCGCGAGAGCGGAAGTGAAAAAAATAGATTAAAAAGTGTGCGCATTAGAGGAGGAGGGTGGTGATGTTGCTACCTTCCTTATACAGGGACCTTAGCTGTGCCACGTTGCAGCTCGTTTGGCAGGTGGCACCGATAATACTGCTCACCCAGGACATTATGTTGGAAGAGTTTGGGCAGTTTATGATCTCGCCGCCGTAACGCCCCTCTCCCGTGTGAGCCAATCGGCCTTCGGCGCAGAGTGAGAGGTGCGAGCGCATGCGCGTGGACTCCCGGCTGCTCCCAGGTGGGTGGAAAGGGCCACCATTTTCATTCATTCGCCCAGTGGAATGCAAGAGAGGGGCATACAAATATAGGCTCTTTATTTTGCAGGCCCTGACAAGAAAATGATATACTGTACAATACCGAGAGATGCCCCACCGCCAAAAGATAGCCCACCCCTATCTTTGGCTTGATTTGCTATATTTTTTTAAACATTGAAAGATAGCCCATTTCTGGTAATAGTGTTGGGATCAATGATGAGCTTCGGTGTAAATGCGGCTAGTTATAGCTATGGTGGGATATAACCAAACGTTGCTGTCTGGATAGTACAGTCATCTTTACTTCGTTGCCCCTCGCCAAAACAAGCTTAGAAGGGACACAACCTAAATATAGCAATTTTTGAACACTTTTTTTCATTGTACACCAGAAGTTAGCCCACTCCATATTTTCACCAGATTTGCTCTTGATGTTAGGTGGGCTATCTCTCAGGATTTTATGGTAGTGTTATTCCTTGGTGGGTTAACAAGCTAACGAATTAAATTTTCTCGACGTTTGACTGCAAACTTTGATTCATGCAAAAAAGAAGTGACCACCACTAAAAGATGGTGGTCATTTCGTCTTTGCTCCCTCCTTCCTTCGGTGCTCTCTTCCTTTTCTCCTCTCTGGCACCTTCGTCGCCACGCCTACTGGCCAGGCTCTGTGCTCACCATGCTGTACTGCATGCCATGCTGTACCGCATTAGCTTGTATTGGCCAAAAAAGCACTTGCACTACCCCTACTAATTACCACTTGCTAGAGCACTCTTCTGGGAGGCTGTGACAAACATGGAAAGGAAGCCTTCTGATGTGGTCAGTGTCCCAGGATAAAGTTTAACAAATGGAGTGGCCAAGAAACAACTATAATAAGTTACAAGTCAAAAAGGTGGCAGCAAATGCCCCTCAAAGGGCTTCACATATCCCTCCGCCACCTCCGCATCCAATAGCGTCCCATCGTTTCCTTGACGTCGCGGCCAACATGGGAGGAGGGTCTTGCATTCCTGTAAATATTTGTTTTATCTTTCGACTTTGACTCAGCGTTGTGGGAACCACAAGAGGGACAGTTTCCCCCTCCGATGGATACAAATATGACTTTCGGGGGTTAGGCTCCCCCTCCGATGGATACAAAGGCTACTTTCAGGGGCTCGGTTTCCTCTCCGATGAATACAAAGGTCTCCTCACGCTGTAGCCATTATCTATTCATTGAAGCGGAACAAGGGGCGTTACCAGTGAAGTCTTCTTTTGACTGTGGAGGGATTTGAAAGGGGCGCATCACGCTTGTGGGAGGAGCTTCTCTTACCTTCTTGACTTGTAACAGACTATAGAAAAGCATTAAAAACGGTTGCCCGAAACAGAAGTGACGGTGAGGCATTTGTTGGCAGGCGCACATCCGTCACATGACCCTGCCGGTGCAGAACAGCACCCAAATTTTGTCTCGAGACCATGGTTGCAATACTGTGGAAGACCAGCACAGGTTATGCACCACTCCGGAGGACGATCCAAAGTGGCAAACAGGTAGTAGTAGACAACAAACTGGATACTGCAACGGTTTTATTTATTTCGAAAACAAAAGACGTGGTCAACGAGTAAATACTTTCTTCTCCAAAATAAATTTAAAAAACATCAACGAAAATTGGTGAAATGCACAAAACAACCAAAGCAGTTGGCACTCAACCTGCTTTGTGCACTAACAAATGCAAACTGGCTTTCCATAGCCTGACAAATGAAACAGTAATAGCCACATATTTGACATCATCGGTGAGACACTGCAAAAGGAATCCGAGGCACTGCTTGGAAAGTGCTGCCTCGAACAAACGCCACAGAAAAAATGTTTATACGTCCTATTTACAGGGACCGTGAAGCACAGCCGTTTCTAACCACTAAGCGCAATGGTGCTGTGGGAACACCATACACATGGAATGGACCCTTTCTGAAATAATGCGTAGATTATGGACAGCCGCCATTAGTTGGTCTCATCGCTCACGCGTGAAGCTCGTGATTGGTTCAGAGTTCGTGCCGAGCACCGACGCAGTACTCGTGTGGAATGCGTTTTGATCCGAATGCTGACGAAGCGCTCGTGTCCAATGCATGCTCAGAATGCATGACCAACTAATGGCGGCCGCACAGAATCTACGCATCATTTCGAAATTTTGGAAAGGGTCTAAACTAACAAGGTAAGGCATTGTGCAACGTAACACAGAAAACGACAGTATTCGGGTTTTCCTAGACGCAACTGCCAATGCAATTGTGATTCATAATGGGATCGTTGCACTAAAACTCAAATTCTGCAAGTAATGCCCTTTATCAAAAGTGAGTGCCCTACAGTGACAGCAGCCAAGGAAGTTTCATCATGCTCCCTGCTAAAGGACAAATGCATTCGTTTCATCCTCAAAGCTCTCAGCTTCAGGTACCTCAACCTGAAACGGAAAGATTTTTCGTTGCGGACTATTCCTTTTACTGCCACTTTGGAGGGCACTCGTGAGTGACAACTTTGGCTTTTCCTCTGCTCTCTTCGACTTATTCCAGGATTCGTATCACTTTCTGGACATGCAACCGACTTCAACGTTTCCTTCAGGATAGAGGAACAAAGCCACCAGGCCGCCATATTGCAAGTACCAAAGTTATGCTTTTGATTGTGCGTTGTGACATGGTCTTTTCCAGGTTGCCATGGGGTGGCGCTATGGATCCACATCACTCTGGTAAAGGCAAGGTGTATGGCTCCTTGCTTGATCTCAACAGTTTGGCGGTTCATGCCACCCATTTGACAATCCTTTACAATATCCCTCGTATAATTCCCACTGTCTGTGTCGAGCAATTTTGAACGTGAACCCTTGGTTCGCTTCAAGCGGTGCGGAAGTGGCACACGTGATGACAATGACCGTCTCTCTACCAATGCAAAACGTTTTTAAATTTTCGTATATATTCAGAGTTGAGAAAAGTCACAAGTGGGACAAGCAAGCCTAGGAGAGTGCTAAAAGCAAAGGTGCGACAAGAAGCTCTTTTAAGACGCGATCGGCACTGCCCCCTTTCCATGTGAACTTTTTCTCCGGCTAACTGTTTGTCTGTAATCGGACTGGATTGAACCAAGCTTTTCGGCAGAGGGAAAGGTTTGCGAAAAGGACCGAGGAGCAGCTACAGGACCAAGGAAACCTGGCACTAAAAAAGAATGGCAATTTCTAAACCCATCGAGCAAAATGTGCTGGGTACTTCCCATGATTGTGTAATATTACTCCTATTATTTTCCACCCCAAACAAAGAACTCTCGAAAACAATGAACAGATCCACAGTTTTTCAATCCTAATATCTGCACAAACCACTCTTTCAAAACTCTTGACGAATCTCACTGGTGGGTATACAAAACCATGCTCGGTAATAAAGCAAGTAATGATGGCTTTCCGATTGTGACTAGACACATGCTCTCGGGGGAACAAGGCTGAATGTGGAGGCTTCCTCAAAAAGAATGCTCGTTGAAAACATGATTATCTTGGTGACGTACGATTGGTCCACCGTAACAGCTCTCGACAGTCAAAGGAGGTTGTGCATAACACGGCTGACGAGGTCATTGACCCCACAGTGTTGCCAGCGTACACAACAAGGCGGGACGCATGCGGTTCCCGCAGCAAAACCATCGCAAGGGGTTTCGCTGAAGTCGGGCAGAACACCACAGCAGAAACGCAATCACTTTGTCACTTAGTGCTGACGTAACGCACACCACGACTAAGATGGCCTCTGATAATGACCTCTCGGAAAAATACTTCTGTAGCATGTAGTTCATAAAGTTCCAACGTCAAACTTGCGGTAGATAAAATAGATGTGTAAATATGTACAGCCACACGTCCCGCTCCTCATTCCAAGCTGCCTCAATGTATCAAACCAACAGGTGTTCACCATTTAAACGCAGATGGGGTGCACGAGTGGGAACAATAAATAACTCTCATACAAAAAAAAACAAACACCGCCACTCTCAAAGCGAGAACTCACTACAGTGAACTGGACACTACAGAAAGCACGAAACTAAGATGGGTGCAACATTGAGGGTCGCAATGTTGAGACAACCTTTCCCGCAATTTAATGCTCAAGCAAAATCACTCCTTAGCCTTTGTTCCATGTCCGAGTCTGCTAAAATAAATCTTGTTAGAAAATACGTCTGCTAAAATAAATCTTGCACAGCTGCTAGAAAATAAGCTACCGGCGAGCAAGTTTTTTTGACCCCAAAAAGTGCCGCTTCCGGTGTCGCAGCTAGGAGCTGGAGTTGGGTTTCATGCATGCTGTGGCAGTGCAGGGGGGAAGTGCAAAGAGTCGGCACAGCGAGGTATTTACAAGCGCGCACGTAACACTCGCAAATTGCGACATTGAAAAGGGTTTCACACCTATAGATGAAACATTTTAGCCATATATATAGATGAAGGTGTAAGTGCAGAAGCAGCCGTCCGAAAAAGCTTGCCATCAAACTCGGAAAATGTCTTTTAGCCACAACTTTTTACTCGGATACCTAGATTGTCGCAAACGTTTCTATTAGGCATTTTTTATTCCTCTCCGTTCTCGGCGTTTTGCCATCGGCTCTTTTGCCTTGGCCGTTTGCAACGATTAACCCTTCCGTAACGTCTAACCAGATCTCTCCAAGGTAATTAAACGGAGTTAAATAACGGTTTCTTCCCGCCAAGGATGAATATTGATATAACGAGAACGACGATGGCTCTATAAAAACAAAACACTCGAATAAACAGGGGCCACACTTAAGAACTCTTCTTTTTTTTTTTTTTAGTGTGTCCTCGCATTTTTTGTTCTCTGGTGTATGCTTTGGGTGCCCCTTTCTGCTCACAGTTGGTACCGTATTTACAATATTTTTTTTACACCTACACACAGCACTGCTGGCAGTCGCCGCTCTCAGATTTCAGGGTAGTCGGACCGTCCCCAAACCCACGACCACAACTCGGAGCGAGTGTTGCTAAGCTCGTCAAAAGGAAGTTCAGATAAAAGGCGTCCCCACTTCGTCATCGCGCCAAGAATGATGGCAGACCGACGTTTCCCACAGTCCCTGGAAACTATATTTTACAATGAGACGGCGGTGGCAAGACAAGTGCACTCGGACGAACACAGTATTGGCTCCAGGCATTTGCTGTTTGCAGATGCTGCTGAGAGAAACCGACGCCGGGAACGCTGGCATAGGAAACACCAGGAGAGGAATAACACACTCTTAATGGTCCCCTTCCACAAAGATGAGAGTGAACACCGTTGCTTCGTTTCATCGACAAACCTGAAAGCGTATTCAGATGGCACAACAATAGGGGTGTGCGAATATTCGGAGCTTTCAAATGTTGAAGCAAATAATGCTGTAATCGATTCGAAGTTCAGATTGAATAGGGCTATTTAGCAACCTCAAATATTTTTGAGGTATTTCAAAGTTTGAAACACTGCAAAACATACCTTAACTTAAAAAGAAGAAAAAAGATTTAAAGAGAACAATATGCAGTACATACTTGAAACGAGTTCACCAACCAAGACTGAAACACAAATATAGCAATGGAAATGTGTCGGGGCAGATGAGTTTTAGCAACTTTTCTCCCAAAATAAACTGTGTCTTTTGTGGCTACCTTTTCTGTTTATTATTTGCAATCTTGGCCTTGGTTCACGACCATGGACGATTTTTTTGGGCAACGGAAATGTCCGTATGAATGAGACATGACTGTATAAGAGAACCCTCTAGACCTTGTTGTGTTTGTCTTTCTTATTTGTTCCCTAGCTTCGAGACTTCTCTACCATGATTGTATTGACAGCTGCAAACTTTTCACTTCAAAATTACTCGATTCAATGCAAAAGTTTTCGAGAAATATTCGCTTCGTACTTGCTTGGAACTGCAAAATCCCTTTTCGCACATCCCTACACCTACACAGCGATACCGGAAGGCAGGCTCGACTGGGGCTGGTCGGACCTGTCGCATTCATCGTCACGATTACAGTTCCGTGCAAGAAGCACAATCTGGCCATGCAACTTGAAATGCTGCAATTCAAAGCATTTTGAAACTCAGACTCGCCGTCGTTTCGTCAGTCTCCCATGCCTCCAATGCATTTATATTTCGTTACTTTTAATACCGAGTCTCCGCCATTTCTGTCTTTTCGGCACAGCAGCTCCCGTTTGCAAGACTGGAAAAGCAACCAAGTGCTACTATCCTACCGGCAGAAACAAAATGACGCGATTCTGCATGCGAAATGACGCGATTCTGCATGCGTCTTGCCGGTGCGGCATATTGCATAGTAATAATGCGATCGTCGCCGCACAATAAACAAAGTTGGACAACCCCTTTCAGCTATAAATTAGAGAGACAGAATCGACAGTACATTGGGAAGAGAAAAAACTAAAAAGGCAAAGCTTCGGGACAAAGAAATTATGGTTCTAAACCCCCGAGCCGAATTTTCGGAGCCGCTGCCACTCCTTGGCACTGCGGTCTTAGAGACGCTCACCCTTGCCCCCCTCCCCTCCCTCCAAGTCGATTTAAAAAACTATGACTACTAACATAACCCCTCCCCTCCCTCCAAGTCGATTTAGAAAACTATGACTACTAACATAATGTGGCACCGAGGGATGTACAAACAATTTAGCGTGGGCGTACAAAGAGAAATCCGCATCACAAAGCGCTGACTCATTTGCAACCTTTACAGGACAACGATCGGCAAGAATTTGTTGTTGGGAACCCGCGGATGACAGAACATGACGCAGCCAGCCACAACCACACATGCCGTGCCTTTTGTTGGTGGAAGCGCGTCGATCGCGTTTCGTCGTGGCCGCTGCTGCCCAGGGCAACGGGGGTCGCCCCAGGCGACGACTTTGCCTAGGGGTAGCCGTGCTTCCCGGGTAGCCCAAACCTAGGTACGGTTCTGGCTACTCCGTAGAGTGCCCACGTCTCCAGAGTTGCCTCTCTGCGGCGTCTGCTGCCCTCTCGTGGTCTCTCGTCAGAGTTTGTTGCTGGCGCTGCCAACTTCTTTCCTCCTGCCCGTGAGGAAGTAGGTGAGCATGTCCCCCTTGCCCTTGACGGAGATGTAGCCCCGGCACTCCATGGGGTACCCCAGGGGCTCCAGGATGCTGTACATTTCCTGCGTCACCTGCGGTTCAATTGGAGCCCCGTTGTCGGGCGTTTCAGCCGTTAGCGGACGTGTTCAAGTTCTCACATACTAAACTGTGGTTAGAGTCAGAGTAACCTTAAAAAAACACTGGGCTTAGGAAAAAATATTTTTTCCTACCTGGTTAAGACATGTATGCCTCAAAATAAATGGTATTAACTATTCATGCAGGATGATGATGATAGCACTTGTAGCCAACTTGTACATGCTACGAGCCTAAACGGGCCAGCCTGCAGGCCGGGGGGCTTGGGCTTTGCGTTCAAGTTTACAAGGCGAGCCGGGGCAGGCCGAATCGGCAGTTTCGTTGATAATTTTTTTTAACAGCCATGTTTTTTGGAAGTTTGTTCGGGGGGTTGGGGAGGGGACGATATAGTGGGGGAGACCGAAATGCTGAAAGCTTCTGCGTGTGTGTCTGTATATGGTTTTGTATGGTTTGGTGTGTGTGCAGCGAATTCTCTTCCAGAGCACCAGCGGCGCGGTATTCCTTTTCATCGTTGGCGGCACCGCCGTCGTACAGTTGCTTCTCCCCATCAACACGCGGGTTTTGTTGCAGAAAAGGACGATGGGTGAGGTTTTTCTAAACGAGCTGTTTAGTTCCTCAGATTGGTCGGACTAATAATAGCATAAAAAGACGAAAGATGCGTAGTAGCAAGCGAGCTGCCAAGCCACCCAATTTGTGGGCTATTGATACTGGGTGAAAATTGGGCCTCAGCGGGCCTGTAAAAATTGTCATCGGGCCGGGCTGGGCCGGCTGTCAGAAATGGATAGTGGAATGCCCAGGTGGGCCCGGGCCCAAGGTTTTGCGGGCTGGGCCGGGCTCCTAAATGTCGGCCCGTGCACAGCTCTACCTCGGAACGGTTGGGTACAAACGCTATCATCATCATCATCCCACAGGGGTACAATTTTGGTTTTGCCCACAAATGGAAAAATTCGTATTGTAACAAAAATACTGGGCAAAATTCTTTTTCTTTTTTTACATGCATTTATTATGTTATTTGCCTGCCCTAACTAGGTAGACAAAAAAAAAAATTCTTCCTAGGTTGATTGTTGTTTTTCTAGGTTAGGTGTTTTCTTCATAGTTCATGATTTGCCAGAAAATTTGCTAAACACACACTAAATAGCTAAACACTATTTCATCTAAACATAGATGAAATAGTAACCCAAATATTGGGTCAAAATAAAGTTTTTTTTAAAGGTTTTAAATTTACAACTTTAATCTTCAACATCTTTTTTTTTTTCTCAAAGTGAAAGTTTCTATAAGAACAACGAAAGAGTGACGTCAGTATAAGGCAGGGGTTCACTTTTTGGAGTGCAGACTTTGTTCCCAACTGATCACAAGCAGTTTCATGGTGTCAAACGAATGCTTTGGAAGCTCGCTCAAGCACAAAACAAGTGCTCGGCCGAGTCCGTTTTAAGACTGCCCGTTTGACCTGCAGGCCTGTTTTCCCTCGACGTCATGGCACTGAAAAGCACGGGTATATTTAAATGTCGGTTTGGGCATCATTTTCACTTTCCGATTTCACAATAACTGTTCTGAATTTCGCAATAAGTAGCATACTGGAAAGGGTAAAGGCCAATGATTCTGAAAATAGACTTAATTGAAGTAGCTTAAAAAATCGTCGGACTACCCCTAGGCTTCCTCGAGCTCGTCCCTGCACCTAGATGATGCATACTTCTAGTCAGCAGATCTGAGCCACTTATTGACTCAAATCTATGGGCAAGACAGACGCTCCTTATAATCTTGCTTACGCTGTCTATAAACTTCTGAGCCACTTTACTGCATCAACACTGAGATCGGAAAGGTGCTCATCCAGGTTGAAACGAGCAGGGATAAGATTGAGTGCAGAATCCCCGTGCTGCAAGCTACTGCCCAACCACATTCAGTCGCCAAAAAAACCCTCCGCTTTTGTTTTATTTGGAAAGAGGCATTGAACATCAATAGCTACGCTTCGTTTCAGCTTCCGTCTGAGCGCAGCCAAAGACTGAGGGACGCAACTTCGAGAAGAGCATTCCTACGCACCACAAAGTAGTCTGCAAAAGTAATTTTTCTAAAATAACTGCTTTGTTTGTAAACATTGCGCAATATTCCAGGTATGTACTGCTGAGCATGATTTGCAACTAAAGGAATTAAATATCTCAAGTTTATGCTTTTATTAACATATGTAAATGCATGTTGTTTGGTAAAAACACATACATCCGCTGGCAACACGGCTGCTTCGTTCGTTCCCGTAATGGCCAAATCATGTGCTTCGCTGGTTTCCTTGCCGAGTCGCTTTAAAACGTCCTTTCGCAAAGACACGTTTGGGCGTCAGGGGCGAGAAGTCGTGATGAATGTCTACTTTCGAATTCGGCAGGAGATTCCGGCCGCGCCGTACTTCGAATGCGTTAACAGGAAAAGCGTCCGGGCCACTACAATTCACTGACACACGGCGAAATCAGGGAACTCGTTTACCTGCCAATCACATTGAACGCCGAGAAGCTGGTGGAAAGGACTGCGCCTCGAGCCCTGGTATATCCAGACCATACAAGGAAACATTGCACCTTTGCATTGCACATTGCTTCTTAATCACGGCCGGGTCATCGGGCACCTTGCAGTGTGTACTTACATCTCAAAACTATGCTGAACAGGTGGAAAGCCCGGACACGGACGCCAGCGGCCAGCCTACGGACGCCAGCGGCCAGCCTACGGACTGACATCCCGTGACTAAATTTTAGAACGTGAAAGGGCACTTTTTTTTAAACCTGTAGCAGATGACCGTTGATACAGCCGTAGCAGACGAAATACTCGGCGAGCGCGGGCGGCGCGGACGTTTAGCAGCATAGCAGAGTGATACAAACTGTGTATGATTGGCTCTGGCCACACGTAGCTTTGGCTGCGCTCGGACGGAAGCTGAAACGTAGTATAGAAGGAGAGGCTTTGAATCTACAACGAGTTAAAATAAATAGGACAGCTGGATTTGGACGCTTTCTAGTTCATTGTTATTCAATTTATTGTTATCTGGAATGTGACAACATCCTTGCTTTCTAACTGTAAATTATGCTTCTGCACTAGGTAGCAAGTCCTACTCAAAACATGCCTGTACAATCCAAATTTTTATGCCCACGTAAAATCCTTTGCCCGTGGCACTGGCTCTAGGGAACACTGAAAAGGTTTCGTTGCTTGTTCTATTAGCTTTCCCGCAGGAATGTGTAACTGTGTTTTCCTTAGTTAGATTTACACTGCATTTACCCAACCCTAACACACCAGTTTGTGCAGGAAACTTCAGGCCACAAGGAAAGACATTCAGCTTGCAAAGTGAAGAATAAAAAAAGAAAAGAAAAAAAGCTGTAAGCAGCCTTATTGTTGTCGTGGATTAACATGAACCATATCTGAGTGGTCAAATGTTTGGTGCACAATGCAGTCAGCTTCACATGACTTTCGGTAGGCAACCGTGTGTCTTGACAGGTACCAGCTCACCTGAATCTTTTCCACCTCGCCAGTGGAGTCCATCCGACTGGCAACATTGACGGCGTTGCCCCAGATGTCGTAGTGGGGCTTTTTGGCACCAATCACACCTGCCACCACCGGCCCCACATTCAATCCTGCAAAAGAGGAGAGCAGGGTCTGGAAGAGGCCATTCGAAACAACTGCAAGCCGCAAACGCACTCTGTTCTTGACGGGTTAGGATTTTCTGCAGAATCGCGCAAGACTTCTCAAGAGGGAAGCTGAAGCAGTTTTAAATTTGAGAAAAAACAGCCGAGCCTCGTTAATTACACCCCAGTTATCACGAATATCATATTCGTTTGGTCCTTTTATGCGCGGATTAACCAGAAAAGTTCCTTTAAAGTAGTGCTGGAGCCACGCCCCTCCGAGGCAGAGGGAAAGGAGGGAGAAGAAGCCTGTCAGCCAATGTCACAAAAGGACCGGCTGGGGGACCCTGCCGCAGCTGGCTGCACTTCCCTTGTAGGCTGCTCTACTGACTTTTCGAGCCGTCGTCATTCTGCCGCTGCATAGCGCTCCCTTTTATCTGTTGACCGGTTGTGCCATTAACTTAATCTTAATCGCCTGACGTTTTGATTGTTTTCTTGTTTGTTTATGAATTTGCAGAATTTTCGTTGCACCGAAGCAGCTGACAAGCAGCTGACTCACGCCGTTGCACGAGGCTGCACTCCCATGTAGCCGTCGGCTTGGAGTTCTTTGCAGTTGTTCCTCCCACCTACCGCCCTTTGCACTCTGACACCAGGATTTCAAAGGGATAGGTTTCCGAAATGCAAACAGACGAGTTTGGACCCAACAAGTACACCGTTTTTTGTTCGGAACGTTTTTCCGGATGGCGCAAATGAAAACAATGTATGTATGGGTTTTGGTCTGAAGAAAGCTCGCCTGAACCTGACGCTCTGCCGACCATCTTTGAAGGTAAGAAGGCAATTCAGCGCATTCAAAGGCACACGCAAAGGGGAGACGAAACTATAGGTAGAAATTATAGGTTGACTGTTTTTAAGAAAAAAACTTATGTTAGTAGTTGTGTACTAGAAAAGTCGCGATCATGTAGCCAAATAGCGGGCTTCCACTGATTCTTTTGTGTGAACCGCCTCATATTGTGCTTTTCTTTTGGTTTCTTTTTATATCAATGAAGTGACCGTATTTCCCACGCCAACTCCACTACCCAAGAGTGTTTTTTTTTTTTTTTAAAATCTGCTCCGCTAACCAGTCACTTGGGAGAGGAGGGGCTTACGTTGTAATAACTGGTCATGCAATACATCATGCGACTTTCATGATGCAACTTGTTTTAGTGTGGAATTTTTTTTATGTTGCTGATACTATTTGAGGTAACATAAACGTAAACATAACCTTATAAATATTCTATCATTCGGATAATTCGACCAAATTTCAATGTCCCGTCGAGGTCAAATTAACGAAAGTTTACTGTATAAGCATGCAAGGACATGGCGGTGGCAGAACGGCGACCCTGTCTCATCACCCGTCTCATCCCAGAGGAAGTTCTTCCGTTGCCCAAAACTGATTATACTATCTCTTAAACCACTTTAGCCTTGGTGAACAATGCTGCCTGCACGATCGCGTGTCCAGCAGCTGCCAAGCGTGAAGGCCGATGTGTGCTAAATGCTTGTCCTCTGACGAGCGTTTCGGGGAGAGTCACGCCAATCTGGCCTCAAGCGTCCCATCCAATGGCACTCCATATATTGTAAACATTTTACGTTACAATAAGTAGCAGTTAGTACGCTCCTGAACGTATGAAGCCGGCTATGTCGCAACAGTGCAAGCGGTTCCTCGTGTCTGCCTGTATTACTGGGGGGGTCATTTTTCTGCATTGCCAACAGCTGGAACGCATACTCTGTCACGTCGAGGGTCCTCTGGACACACGCCCTTTCGGATCCATCGAAAGATTTAGAAAAATCAGAAGTCATACTTGATTTACAAAAGCAGAAGCCTCCGTGCCCGACTACTTCCGCAAGTGACAGAGCAAGCGAGAATCGAGATGGCCGCTGCTGCACGCCAATGGCGTGCAGCAGCGGCGATCGCTTGTTTTTATAGCTTTTTTACATGTTTAGTGATTATTTTAAGTCAGACGTTTGTGATATTAGGACTCAGCAGGCACAGACACGTCAGAATCAACCATTAACTCACTTTTTTTTAAAGGCTTTCCAGCTTCACTTTATACGCGAAAGTTGATCGCTCATCTCACAAGAAACGAAGAACCGCAAAAGATGTCCTGGTATGCATTTCCCGATACTGTCGCGTTCAATTCAAAGGACTGCCATTAACATTTATTCGCTGCCCAGAAAAAGCAGGGGAAATGTGGAATACAGCTTTCAGAAAGATGGAAAGCTGAGTCAATTTGGCCGTGCATTTGATTTGTGTGCCCAAGCTGTTACAGTGTCTGAGCATATGTATTTTACTTTTTATAGTGAACACGAAGACGAATTCGGTATGGGCATCAAGGAGCATTCCTTAGTCTCTCTCCTTTGGAGGAGGCTGCGTGTCTCTTTACAGGGGTGGCTCCAACAGTGCTAGCTTGCTTAAGTACCTCTTGGCTTGCTTCACCTGTCGTTAAACCCTGGGGGTCAAAGGTTTGTTTGCAACAAACTTCGGTTTTCCAGCTGAGTTCCCCAAAGATTCTTAAATTTCACGACGTGTCTCTTTCCACAGTTTCAGCACCATTTTAGCCGATCTCGCTCAATCATTGATTCCTAAATATGACCCAAACAGCCCTTAGTACATAAATCATAGTTTGGGTTCCATGTTTTCCGAAGTATCTTTCTCTTCGAATAGGTTTTTTTTGTATTTTCCCCACAGATTCAATGTTTTCCGCTACCGACCTTTGCTGTCGGACAAAAAATCTGCGTTAATTGCAGCTTCTGTTGAAGAAAATGGGACACGGGATTCCCCAACTTCCGGGCAGTCATTGCATTACACAAATATCGGGAACATGTGGAGGTACAATAAGGGAAGAAAACGGGACAATGAGCATGGTTTCTGACGAAAAGAATCAGCCTCGTGGACAGTGAAGTGCAGGCTGAATTTCGAATCAATGCAAAATGAAGCTGCTGATAAAGGCTTCTCTCCGTGACGGTCAAGTTTTTCCTATTCGAAGACAGGTGCATTCGGCATTTTTCGGTCACCTCCGAATGGGCAGAATAGGTTCGGGGTTTACTTTTCGGGATTTATCGGTATTCCCCGAAAACATGGGATTCTAGTCATCGTTTCTAATGTCTGCAGGCTTCCTTGCCGCTTTACTGCGTCAATGCCGAGCTCAGAGACGGTTCCTTTGCCACAGCTCGAGAAAGGTGGGAATTCCTGGAGATCGAAAAGTTTGAGAACCACTTGTGAAGGGGTCTAGTCTATGCGGCTTCATTTGACTCCACCCACCTTTCAAACAGAAACACGAAGCAACGGGCATTCAGTACTGTGCAAGTGGTATTTCGTGGAACATGGACCCTATAATTCTATAGATCAAAAGACAGGTTAGGCAGTTTCATCACTGCCATATTTCTAAAAATGAACCCCGAAGAGAGACATGTTGGCTGGCAATCACAGATGCAGCCGTCGAGTGTCACAACTGCATCCCTCGGCGCAACCAAGGTTTAATGTCGCCTGCGTGAGCCGTTCTGTCCGTGCACTATGCTCGCAACATGGGCAGAATGTCGGCTGCAGGGCTTCGCGAAGACGAGTGCCTAGAATACTACCAATACTGGTGCCCGCTTAACACGGGCATTACAAAAACAGAATAGAACACGCGAGAGAATGGGGCATACTGCTAACAAACTGTTAAAGGGACACTGACAGGGTATTTATGCTCGCCAAGTTTTTTATTTCTATACGAAATATGAGAGGCCAACTACCCAGGATGCAATTTACGGTTCAAACTTTGTTTCTTTCCGCCCGAAAACCACCGATCGAGAACTGGCCAGTCTGGGTCACGCTCACTCTCTTCTTTGTGGTCACGTGTTGTTCCCTGTGGTTTAGACACACGCACCAAATATAATCGAAGTCGTGGGTCGTCAAAGAGCACACTCAATAGTAAAAAATAGAAGAAACTATGATACCCATTTTTTGTGACTTCTAAAAGGCTGCAAGTAAGTTGATAAAAAAATAAAAAGTTGCACCGAGGACTGGAAGCACTGTGTGCATTCTCTGCGTAATTCTCAACGTGACATCGCATTGCGGGACTGGCGGACTCAGTGGCTAAACGAAGTGGATTAAGTGATGGCGGCGGACGACGGGTGTGGGACCTCTACTTTAGAACTCTTGTTTGTGGTACTGGTGATTCTTTCTAGCTTAAAAAGATAAATTGCTTACTTATCAAAACAATTAGGATTTATTCCGCATGACACGCCCGACCACCAAGCTGATTTGCACGAAGACGTCGTCGCCCCTTCTCCTGGCTGAAGAAATAGCTAGTCTTATGAATGTGAACTGGTAAGATCTTTAAAAAAAACGTGCAAACATCAAGTATAAATTGCTTGACTAGCGTTTTTCGTGCAACGCGCAAGTTTTTTTTTTTTTTTTTTGCCTCACACAATTGAAAAAAGAAGGAAAAAGAAAGAGAACGCAATTGGGTGTAGTGACGTGACTTCCGGCAACTCTGTCCTCCTCTACATTTCTTCTTCCTCCGCACTCTAGTTTCGGTTCCGAGCAGTTGCATTTCTTGACTACATCAAAAACACATGTGAGACTGTAGTGAAATATTGATTGGGTACTCTTCCGACACCTGGCAAGAAATAACTTTTTTTGTGGTGTTTTGAACAGGGCCGACCGACTACATGCGGGAGGCATTGGACCCAGCTTGAAAACCCAAATTCTTATCTACGTCTACCTGACGATCCTACACAGCGATTTAGTATTATAATTAACAGAACACTTGAAGATCTGCGTAATTCCAATAAAATTAACTGCGATCAATATAATTACCTTCAGTCAAAAAACGCTCATCCAGGTGTCTTCTATATGCTCATCAAGGTTCACAAGCCCAACAATCCAGAGAGGCCCATTATATCAGGCATAGGCACACCAACCGAACGAATTTCAGAATTTGTAGACCATGCTATTAAACATATACCCCCCCCCCCTACTACAATCTTACGTAAAGGACACCACACACTTTCTTAGTCATATCGACCATATGAACGGATCCGGCTTAATATCGCAGGAGAGCATTCTGGTCACTATCGATGTGAGCTCTTTGTACACTAACATCCCACATAATGAGGGACTGGCAGCCGTGGAAGAATTCCTTTTTCTCCACCCTTCGTCTCTCGCAGACAGTAGCTGTATTCTGCACTTATTGGAATTAATTTTAGACTGCAATAACTTTATGTTTGATGATGATCATTATTTGCAAATTCAAGGCGCGGCCATAAGGTCGAGAATGCCCCCAAATTACGCTAATATTTTTATGGGCAAGTTTGAGGAGACCTTTGTGTGGACTTACGCCAAGATTCCCGCCATATATCTTAGGTATATTGACGATATATTTATCATTTGGAATGACACTGAAGATGCACTCCTCCCTTTTCTAAGTTACCTCAACGGTTGTCACAGTACAATTAAATTTACCCGTAATTACTCAGCAGACTCTATGAACTTTCTCGACGTTAACGTTAAAAAGATGGGAAGCCATTTGATAACGGAGTTGTACAGAAAGCCTACAGACAAACGTCAGGTTTTACGCTATGATAGCTACCACCTAAAATGTAAAACAAATAATATACCTTACAGCCAATTCCCTCGGCTGCGTAGAATTTGTTCTGAAGAATCAAACTTTAAGGAAAACGTAACGTCCTTGAAGAACACACTATTCTAAAGAAAATATCCTGCATCTATTCTCGACGACGCCACAAGAAAGGCATCCGCTCTGGAACGTAGCACAGTCCTTGAACCCACACGACAGCTTCACTCCAACGAAACAAGGGTGCCGTTGGTTATAAACTACTATTTGAACCTATCAAGCCTGAATTCCATATTGAAACGCCATTTAAACGTCCTACATGCCGACGATAAACTTAAAAAATATTTCCCGAATCACCATTTGTCACATTTCGTAAGCATCAGAATCTTGGGAGGATGTTATGTCCCTCGTATATAAAGAAACCCAATTCATGCGGTGGTTGTGGTCCTTGCCTCAACACTCCTTGCCAACTTTGCCCGTTCGTTGTGACCGCTGATAAAATTTCGAGCTACGCATCAGATTTTTACGTAAATATTAAACAGCATATCGACTGCAAAACCCCTGACGTGATATATATTATTAACTGCACACTGTGCAAGAAGCAATATGTAGGAGAAACTAAAAATTCTATGAAAGAGCGATTTTATGGCCATAAGTCTAAAATTGTAAATAAAGGACAAACACCGGTAGCTAAACACTTTAACTCCGAAGACCACGACAATCATATGCACCTAAAAATTATCATTGTGGAAAGCAGTTTCAAAAATGATATTACGCGCAAAAATAAAGAGTCATTTTATATATTTAAATTTAAAACCCTAACCCTGCTTGGTATGAACATTTCAAAAGGAAACTTATATAGGCCGTTGTAGGTTCTTAGTTTTTACAGGCAAACCACCTCCCCCATCGCAGAGGAGAGCGGGGGAGAGCTAGAAACATTGGGATGTGGGGACGTCGCCCGCTAACTTCCCTCCTCTTCCCTTCTTTTTTTTTTGCGGGGAGAGGGGAGATTGAGCTGGGAGGCGTTTTAAGGAGTATTTCTCGGTATTCTGTTGAGCGGTGCCACCCATGTGTGACATTTCTGGTGTCCGTTTACACACACTTCGGGCTTATTTATGACCTTCGTTTGCTTCGGCGTTATACTGGCTTAGGCTCACTCCAGTTGACCCCTGTATGTTGTTATTTTTCTGGATCTGGAGCGCTAACTCTAACATGATGGAGGCCATTGCCTGTGATATATTTTCTTGGTTTCACTAACGAGTGGTGCGACCGTGTTCCCCTTAAAACTACCACTTCTCTCTTTTTTTTTTATGTGTGTTTTGTTGGAATGTAGTTTTTTCAGGCTCAAGTGTTTTTACTTGTACTATTATATATATGAATTTTTTCTTTCGCTTTTACCAATGTTCCTCCTCTCCTTTGGTCTCTCTAAAAACGCTTTGCAACTGTATTTTCTGCACACTTGAAGAAGGGAAGTCTCTTCCCGAAACGTCGTGTATTAAAGCCTCTGCTGCTGTTCAAACATTTTTCTATGTTTACGACTTTCTTGGTGAAGACTTGTTCATTAATACAGTTAATGTTTTTTTTTTTTTTTTTTTTTTAAGGGGTTACACCATATTAGTGCCAGAGCCTTTACTGAAACATTGCAAAGCGGTGCTGAGAACCCAGGACCACGGCATCCCTACTCGAAACCCGAGATGTCCTCAGACAGTTTTTCTTTCTTGAGCATTTTTCTTATGTGGTTACCATGCCAACGCAACTCAACAAAGATAGTTATAAAAGTCAAAATGGTCAGGATAAATCACTTCATTTTCATACTGCATGCCAGAATTCTTTAGGGTGGCAACGCGGGCCAGTTGGTTCACACTTAGAAATATCGACACAGCACACAAAAAAACGAAGACTAAGTAGAAGGATGTACACAAGACAGTGCTTGTCTCGGGTACACCCTTCTGCTTCCTCGTCGCTTTTTGTGCGTCGCATCGACTCTACCCGAATTCTTCGCAGAGACAGTTATACGCGTCGGACGCATGTGCTCTGTACGGACTGTTCGGATGACCGGGAACCCTCAAAGACATGGGGAAAAAAAAGCACAATAAAAAAAAGGCTGCCAGGAGTCCCCAGACACCGACACATTCTTGTAGCCAGGAACAGCGCCGCATTACCTTCACACTCCATTTGCATTACCTTCACACTCCATTTCGGCACGACAAGGCAAAAAGGCGAATGCTACGGTTCCCGCGAGTGGAGCACATTGCAGCCCCCTCCCCCGCAGAAAGAGGGCACTCCGGTGGCACGTTTTTGCGCACCTCGCTTCGGTATTCTAACTGTCCGACTGATCTGCTGGAGCCGTAGCTTTTACGGTTGTCGAGTATTGCCGAGATGCAGCGGTCGAAAGAGGCTGTTTGTGGCAGTGGAGTGCAGCTCACCTATCCTGATCTTGAAGTGGTTGAAGGAGTGCTCGTTGACGTGGTGCAGCTGCTCCTTCATGCGCAGGGCGTAGTCAGCCATGGCCACCACGTGCACATTGCGCGCTATGTCCTCGGGGGCCATCGTCAGGCCGGCCGCCGCCATGTACGTGTAGCCCGTCGTCTTGATCTTCTCAATGCACTTGAACTCTTCCTCAGACAAGAGCTGGACAATGCAAGACATGGCACGGGAGGAATAGACGTTAGGGGACATCTAGAACCAGTATTTAGACAGGTGTTAGTGTACATTAACGATTTCGGGCACTCTTAGCACTGGAAGGGAACAGTCTACTTGTGTGCTATGTATGCTACAAACCACAAGCTTTCACAGGTTCTGTGAAACCCAATTACTACCTGAACAAGATTTGTAAGAGATGCTTCATCTAGATGGAACTAAACAGCTTGCATGTGATGTTGTCGCACCATGCTAGTGGTCATTCCCACACGTTATCGCCGAGGTGCACCAATTCGGTGGTGTGAAATGCGCGCTGCAAAAGCTATTCGCTCGCTGTCGTGGCCACCACAATGGCAGCCGCTGTAATGTCAGTGAAAACAATGTATTGTATTGTATATGCCTTGCTGTGGAATATTTCTGCTGAAATGTTTTCGTGAGCTGTTTGAATGAATGCCGAGAAGACAAGTAGTTTTAAGGATTAGGGATAGTAGCACTTGTCCTGTCAATTCTTCGACTAATCTTTTGCAAGCACTTTTCCATCCGTGTGAACATTAATACTACACTCGAGTCCAGCCTAATTTCCAAAACACCCATTACTGAAAAAACACTAATGTGCACAAATTAAACAAAAAGAAAAAAAGACATTGGCACAGATTTTTGCACTAAGTCAAAGTCCCAAGAATGCCAATTAGGTAAAAACTGGGAACAGTAGGGCATACTGCAATGATTATGGTGTCCCACATAGACGTGGCGCCATTACCTCGTCAAAGTCGGCAATGATCTCGTTGAGAAGCCGGAGGCATTCCACGCCCTCGTTGTTCGCTTCGAGCTCCATGTAGAACTCGCTGAAGTTTGGGATAGACGCAAACATGATGCCCACACTGTCGCGTTGCTCGTGGTAGAGGTCCTGCACAAGTGCATTTGTGTTTGTTAGCTATTTGGAGGGACAGCAGGGACAGAGTGTGATTAGAAACACCTGACAAAGGACCCATATTCCCATACAGATGGGACACACAGTCATTTAACAAAAAAGTTAAAGAAAAAAGGCTAGACATTTTTATGCAACACTGAAGTTCGAGTCCAAAATATAGGATTCTTTTCTTTTTTTGAAAACCATCTTCATAAACTAACTTTGTTTTAACAATATTTAAAATAACTTTTTTTACAATTTCTAAAATCAGTGGGTGTCGGTTCAGCAGCTGAGAGATTTAGAGCATTAGATTTTGTTTTTCACAATTTTTACATAAAGTCGCATGGGTAGAGGAGTTAGCAGTGCAATCAGCTGAGATGAGGAGGGACGGGGTTCAAACCCTATCGGTCCGATTCTTTATTTTACCAACTGTTCCTCTTCTGGAACGTTCTAGTTAACCCTCGGCAGCTAGAGCCTTTCCGAACAAAATGCGTGAACAAAAGCAGCCCCCGCACGCTTTCTCAGGTAAGTTGCAGTACCGTCGCTTGATTAACGATAACCATTTAGTTTCAGGCACAAATTGGCCCTATTAACCATATATATTTTCAGTTTCGCTTTTGTCTACCCCTTTTTATTCAAACAATATACTTTTTGTAGTGTATAGCTGACAAGCTACAAGTTATAATCACTTTGTGTTAACACAGACTATAAAGGGACATGTCTGTTTTGTGTTAGTATTGCATGGCTATAAATCTCATTCTACACAATCTGACGTGTAAGAAGGATAAATGCATCACTCTTTTGTCCATCACAAATTGAGCGACACCTTTCCCTAGTCACCATATGTGTAACAGTTTTTCTTTTTCAGGGTTTTGCATTTTATGAAACTGAGGAGGGAGAGAGGGGGCTAAAAACGGGTTAAATTAGGGTAAGAAATGGGGTGGGTCCTATTTTTTCACCCACTGCCTATATGCGATGCGATGCCTACACTTCTGATCAGTGTTGCGGAATAAGTACACCCCCATTCCATTCCAGCTCCATTCCGGGGAATTAAAGGAGCTATGCAACAATTTCAGGGCTTTGCTTAAATAATTGTGGAAGTTGATGCCTGACACTTCTGAACTGAACTACAGAAAACAGATTTTGTCTGGATACCCTAGTTTTTATTTAAAAAAAAAAAAAAGAAAAAAAGATTCAGGTTTTTGCCACCTCTCAACTCGTAGATCGTCTTCCAGGTCACGTGCGCAGTGACGTCGATGGGGTAGGCGCGGGGTTCCAGTAAAGTTCTCTCTCTAGAGCCATCAGCGAGCAGCGAGAACTCATCCGCTCGCGACCGCGTGATCACGTGCTGGCGGACACAGCGCGAACAATATGGTGAAAGGAGGAAAGTCTCATCCGGGTTCGGCCATACCCATCCGGCCTTGTCGCCCTCCCCTCCGGCTTCTGGCGGCTGTTCGCGGTAGCAGATAGAGCTGACGGTTTTGTGGACCTAGGATAGACGGCACCACTAAAACTCCGTATAATAAAAGTTTTTTCGATGATACCAGGTTTTTGACCATTTATATTTATGCTGGAACGACAAGATTTATAAAAAAAAGTTACCTTTTATCGAGCAGATATTCGCACAACTTGCTATATGTCTACAAGACCCCCATTGACGTCGTGCCACGTGTTTCTCATGGCCATCGCTCGCGGCTGCAGGTCGGGGAATATTCTAAGTTTTGCCTCGCTATTACGCGGCACAATCGCAACATTTCGATGAAAGGAGGTGTGTTTTGTGTCATTTGTGACAAGGTGAACAATGTCAAAAGTAGAAGATGCCAATTCTTTCAACGTTAAAATCGTTGCACAGCTCCTTTAAAGCTTGCGATAATTCTATTTAACTCCTAGGAATGAAAACACCGGGTCCATTCCCCTTCTTGGAATGGCCAAACCGTCTCATTCCGTTTCTTTAATTCCTAAAAGTGGCAAAAAAAAAAAAAGGCTCTCGACAGCTGCGTTGTGTAGCCTGCAAAAGCAGCCTAAAGCCGACGTTGTGAAATGCAAGAAAACTCAGAAAAATATGCAAAACGCATTCCTAGAGCTAGCGGCTTCGGGGACGTGTTTCAGAACAAGCTAGCAGTTCCGTGTGTCACAGCAACGTGAGCCAGTCATGGAACGTTTGGCTCCAAGCGTGTCGGCAGTGCGAGAGGCTCCGCATCCGGGGTTGACGGCGTGGCTTCGTCCCTGCCTGCTGGCCTACGACCGATGCTGTAACCTAGCACGGTCTCATCAGCCACTTTGTCGCGTCTCGCGGTGTTGGGAATGACATCTTTTCAGTTTCGGTCGCCTCACTGGAGGCGCTCCCTTCATCCGCAAAGAAGAGTGATCCTGTCACACAATCACACCGTCAGTCTTCTTACGAGTAGTGATGCTGTTCTGAGAGCCACTTTCACCATGCACTAGAGCTAGTGCACGGTCACGCATCAACACAGATCACATAAGAACAGAGCCCATTCCGTTCCCACTCCATTCTGGGCAAAAGGCACCCGATTCCACTCGCACTGCATTTTGAGATTGCAGAAGTGTGGAATAATTTCGGAATCATTCCAACTCCGGACTGGCTCTGATAGGTAATCGTGTAAACAAGAAGCACAATTATCGGCAATTAATTTACGTCTCTCTAACGTAACTCACAAGCAGGTTAGTGGAGGTCAGGGACAAAAGTAAAAAATAAATGTGTGAAATAAGGGACAGCAAAACCACATCTTTTATATAAAAGGTGCACTTCTGTAGTTCTTTAAAAAAAAAAAGAGGGCAATCATTTGGAGTCACAGTGGCATCCCCTATCCCTTGCTTCTGCGACACTTGCCCCTTTAGGGCGTATTCACTAAATGCGATATCTAAGCGCGCTGCTTGCGGCGCAGAACGGCAATCTCGATGATGCGACCTGCACACTGCAAAGGCACTGTGGAAGCTCACCGTCAACTCACACTCAGCAGCCACAGGCTCCCCAGCTATGGCCATCAATAAACCCATACTTTTTTTTCCCATATTTCCATGGACCCTTTTTGAATGTCACGTGTTGATTGTTAGAAGGTCTGACTCACTCATCTCAATCACAATTGCAGGATCGCGCATCCCCACTGTTCGCTGCAGTGAGAGTGCGGCCACCGGATGGCTATCTTGCATACAGTTGTTTTTTTTTCGTTTTGCTAGCATTGCAGAGGCCAGCGGCAGCGTGCTGAAGACACATTTTCTACTCGTTCGTTGTCATTCGCCGAAGACATTTTTTAATATCCTGTGTGAGGCGTGATACTTGCCGTTGAGAGCACGTGGAAATTTTTACGAAAGCGCAGTGCCGCAGGAAAAAGGCACAACTTGTCGAAAGTAAGTTTCGCCGGTCTCGCGGCGTGTTCAAAGCTTCCTAGGTACGCTGAAGTTCTGGTTCTCTGTGCCTTCGTATGCTGGATACTGACCAAGAATCGACGCCGTGTGGATGTGTTTTGCAAGTGCAATGTGCGTGAAACCGTATGTAAAGGTACAACTTGTCGAAAGCAAGTGTCGCTGGTCTCACGGCGTGATCAAAGGTTCCTTGGCACGCAGAGTGCCAACGAGCAAGCAGGCTGGCGCTTTCGCCAGCCTGCTTGCTCGTGGGGCTGTTCACGCATCAATTTGAAGTTGTTGATTCATGCATCTTTGTGCCTTTGCACGCGTGGATACTAATCAAGAATCGACATTGCACCAAAGTTCTGAACGTGTGCCATGCGTAGATGTCTTTAGATCGTATATATATATATTGGCCACGGAGTTCTGGATTGTCCAGCTGTTTCAATGAGTTGCTATCAATAAAGGGGAGAGGGGGTTGGCGGATCTAGATGTGCTCTTATGTACTATTAACCATGGCTATGTTCCAAATCTGCTCTAATGGATTAGATGGGAGCACGAATAGAGCAATGCTGTGCAGCAAGGAGGGTTTCGAAGGCAAAAGTACAAGACGGCGAGAATGAAAATCTTTGAAGGGCAGCCTATATGGTCGTGCGCAATCTGTTGACCAATCACAATTAGGCGAGCCACGCTGAAATGCCAAGTGCAATCAAGTAGGTTGATAATAAGCCAGCACTGATTGGTCATGAGGAGCTATTGTGCGCAGTAATCTGTAAATCGTCTAAGGACGAAAAAAAGACGTACCTTCCTCCTCTCTTCCGTTGCTACTGGATGCTGCATTAAGCCCATTTCTGGACCGCGCGTGCCGAAAGTATACAGTCGTCAGAGTAATGTAAGAAGCTGATCCAGAGGCACATACGGCTTCATGCACATTGCACTCGCAAAACGGCGTCGATTCACACGGCGTCGATTCTTGTTTGGTATCCAAGCGTGTGAAGGGCACAGAGACACAGCACTTCAGCGTGTTGTGTTTAACGAGCTGTGTTTAACGAGCTCCCCAGTGATACACGCGCCGTTCGAAAAGGGTGGCCCGAGCGGCATGAGCTCTCCGCGGAGTGCGTATAGGGAGTATTCACTGGCGGCCATAGTTGTGTGCGCGAACGCTGAGCGCATGCTGATGGCGAGCTTCCAGTTCTTTTGCAACGTGCATTCCGCACCATCGAGAGTGCCGGTCTTAGCAGCCTATTGATGGCAGCTCGTTCTGAGCATATGCTCTAAACAGCACCCACAAATATGGCGTCCAATGAATACTCCCTATAGCCATGTCGTCCGAAGTGCACTCCAGATTGTGTATAGCTTTACTTATTCATATTCCTGTAGTACACGCAGCACATTCTTGTCTGTATGGCCGGTACTCACCAGTAGTTACCCACGTTTCGCCAAGCCATCGGTGAAAAGAGAGTAGTAGGCTCACGGAACGGTGATCACTTCGAATCGTTTCGAACAAAAGGAGCACAAAAGTACCAAGACCAAGATAACCAAGAGCTGCGAAGATCCAAAGCGCGGCAAGCACTACCTTGGCAAGGACGCCATTTCTTTCGCAAGAAGCCCGAAAACCTGCGACGGACTGA